TTTAGTTCAAAATAAAATATAAAAATTGCTAACTTTAATATATGTAGAGTTAATTTCATATATTATACACATAACAAAAAAGTAATTTAAATTTACTCAAATTATTTAACAATTAAGATGTTCATTTTCATGCAGATATTATTATAATCAAAATTCATTTAATAACGCAAGAATACATATTATAGTAATAAAAATATGTTTACACATAACCCCTAAGGGTATCTCAACCGGCAAAGTTAAGCGTTCCCAACCAATTATGGAATCCTTGGGGAGCAAGAGGGAAAAGACTCCTTCTCGAAAAGTGTAACCCAATGCATCCGCTATTCCAACGAAGATGTAATCTTTAAGGTTTCTAAAAAAAAAAATGTTTGTAGAGTAAAATTAAATTGATTAATAGAGTAAAATTATATAAATAATCTTTCATTAAGAGAATATGTCGTGTCACTAAAAAAATATATATATCGAAGAGTCAAACATTTAAGATAACTAATGTGTAACGTGTATGTATGATCCTGATCAATTTAATATTCGCATACAAAAAAATATTCAATGCTTTTCCAAGGAGCTTTTTCTATTTACGGAAGAGTGAAGAAGAAGTAAGACTAGGAAATGGTAGATGAAATATATATTCAATCATCTCTCTCAGACGGTATCTGGGGACAAAAGAAATTATTAGACGTCAACGGAGTTGATCCCTAGATTGTTCTATGTGCTATTTAAACAAAAAGAGAAAAAGTTGTCTCCTTATATTAACTAGGATTACCTTTAGAAATACTAAGCATATAGTGGATATCTTTTATATTAAATTAATTACCAATATACATACACAAAGTATATGGCCAAGAACGTTTAATAGTATATATCTTTCATTTGCCAACCTAACTTGTCTTCCTCATTTTCTAACTCTGTGATGAACTGATGATGCATGACGTATATGATACTATATTAACGAGTTGTCATTAAAAATTATGCGATACATGCCACAATATTCAACGCGTAATATCTAATCTATTAATTAATTGTGGTTTTTCCATATGGTGTTTATTTAATTAATGGATATAATTGGATGACTAACATTATTATACTCTTTTAGGTCTTTTCATTGACCATTTTATTAGCGCGTGGATCTGTTGATTTCATAATTGTATAACTTGATTGAAAATTCACTGCGTTGAAAGGTTGGTCATCATATTAGCAATTTAACCAACGATTTAATTAATTTTATATATCATTCAATACAACATAATATAGTAGAAACTTATATTTTACAAACCAACAATAAAATTTAATAATTTTTATGTCCAATAAAAAATATTTAAACCTTTATTAACAATTTTTTATTTTTTATTTTTTGTGGAAAAAAAATTAGAGAGTAAAAGAGCTCTCTCTTCGACCCAACTCTTCCCATTTATGAGCATTTCAATCATCTTCCTTCAAAAGATGGCGAAGCACTACACAGTGCATTTCAAGAGTCTTCCTTGTAGCGCGCGAGGCTTATCAGAATAAAAAAGAAAAAAATGGACATACATACATGGACAAGCTAGCTTTAAATAAATAATAAAGTGTCTGTCACGATAAAAAAATGTGATAGTTAAGTAATCAAAAACATTTGAAGCGGAATCATCACTAATTTTATTTAATTTAAGAAAAATATGAAAAAGAATGACTTGTAAATAAGATGAAAATTGGGAGTTTAATTTATATTATACAAAAACAATTTTAAAAAAATTAATCACACTACCCTCCTGGAACTACTTCCTTAAAATGGTTACCTTAACCATTTTTTTTCAATTTATATTTAAACATTATTTATAAGAAAGATATTAAATAAAATACTTATGAAAATAAAAAATAAAAAATATCAGGCTAAAAGGCTGTCAAACTCAACTAACCTCCCAAAAATTAACAAGTTAAAAAACTGTCACAACTCAACTAACTTCCTTCAAAAATAAAAAAATGGTTTTCATTGTTAGAAATTTTCAAAAATAATTGAAATCATAACTCAATCAATCCACTAAAAATAAAAAATTGACATTTAATACAAGATGAAAATTTAAATGATTTTCATTGTTAGGACTTTGTAAAAATAAAGGAAAAATTAAAAGGCAATGAGTTAACAAACCATCTACCTTTGAAAAATAACAGAGTTAATATTAAACTATATATCGTTGTTCAGCTAATCTCTTCCAAAATGAAAAAAAAATGTTATTTATAATTAAATGATAAACTAAAATTATTTTTATCAATATACTTTAGTTAGCATTTTATCACCAACATTCAGTATCATAAATCAATGCTAGTCTTTCGATTACGTACGTGATAAAATTCTGTTTTCACTTAAGATATATCTTTCTATCACTATTAATATCCCTAACATTCTTTCATTTTTTCCACCTATATAACTTGAATCTTATGATTTCTATTTCTATTTCTCCATCATTTTCAACAACAAATCCAAAATACCTAAACTATATGATATGTAGTACGATATGATCTACTTTCACCTTCAGGTCAAGTGCTAGTGCACGTCTTGTTGAACCTAAATTCCATATATTCCATTTCATTTATGCTTAAACGTAACTCGAAAGTCGTGTGATTCCAAGGTTTCCTTCCACAACTCTATTTATGATTTATTCCCTCTCTTGAGTCTCCCATAGAACCATATAATTAATTTGTAAAAAACATGCGCCAAGGCAAATTTTTCTTGAATATATTAAGTAAAAATGTCTAAAACTAAAGTGAAATCATGAGGGCTTAAAATTAAAAATTAAGGTAAACCTATAGTTATATAAGAAAAATTTTTGTGGCACCAAATGATGATAGCTCAGTTGGCGCCCACCAGAAAATTGAGCAGGTTATGTGTTCGATCCTTCCCAGTATCGTCTTTGAGAGAGGTTTAAAGTCTTGATCACAGGACCCGCCCCAAATCGGACTAGTCTCGAAACGATGAACCAATTGAAATATCTTCAAAAAAAAAAATCTTTGTGGCTCTACCAAGACCTTTGATTAAGGGGAACAAGTTCCTTACAACTTGAACCAATGATTGGTAGTTTTGCCGAGTAATTTCAATCAAAAATTTCACATGACTAAATTTTGACATGAGATGATCTATTTTCCCTTGATGTTAACAATTAATATACATTTATTTAAAAAAGTGTGGAATTATATTTTATAAATTTCATTTATTTATTAATGTAACAAATTTGTGTAGTGTTTTATGAACTATAAGGTAGTTTGTTTATTATTATTTAGAATTACAAAATATTACATTAATTTAATTAAGAGTTATTTTTAAAATCAAAATCGCATATATTATAGAAAATGTAGAAAAACACTTATAAATTGGCTAATTTTTTAGATATTATAAATAGTAGAAACATCAACTTAATCAAGTGCATATAAGTCTTGCACATGTTATTAATTGTTGATTTCACTTATATTTAATAATTTTAATTTATTAATCACATGAGCCATTATATATAGGTAGGATCAAAACTAATAATGACTATAAAATTTATACAGACGTACACCGATGTAATCTAATCCTACCCTTTAAAAGTATTGTATCAATACAAATTTTGTTATAATATCTTAACTGTTTGGGTGATGGGAATGGATTTGTTTCCCTCAAAGCAGGAGTGTAATATGTTTATATAATAATAATTAATGAGGAAAAGTATAAACATAAGCTCAATGCAGAATCACCTTAATGTCTTAGAAAAAAATAGAAAATCAGAGGGAAGATGTTGAGCAAGGTGGCTATGTGAGGTGATATTTCAGTAGGCTAAAGTTCTCTTATTACTATGCAGAAGGTGTCTCGTTAACTGATGAAGAAGGATATGTATAGGTGAAGAATATTTTTCATTAATTAGTGAAAGAATAAGTCATATAACCACCATTTTGCGCTAATGGGGCCACTAGGTATGAGACAGATACTCTCATCACATGTAAAGATCTAAAAATCTCACTTTAGAAATACATAGATATAACTTCTTATATAAATTTTACCAGTCAGCCTAATGGATTGAGATTGTAAGGCCGGTCGTTAACACTATATATATATCCTCCACCATAAAAAAAATTATAAGGGATGAATTTTGATTTATATAAAAACTTTGTGATCATATCATCTACTCATCTCATCCTCCCTTCTCCTATCTATATAGTTCTTACAACAGTGAACCGAAAAAGACAGCTAGATTATTTTTAAACGGTTTTAAATCCGTAAACATGTAGGTAAAAGTTAAAACCCGATATTGTTAAGAGTTCATTATCAATCAGAACGAATGTGGAAATGTTATTCTCACAGCCCTATACCTTGACCATTCCCAACGCCCGATTCCTAATTTTCTCTTTCTATCTAGATAGATGTAGTTGGGTTTTTTGCAAACAAAGGGAAGGTGAATGGGACGGATATACAATAAGAATGATATATATATACACCCAAAAATTCATACATTTTTTTCTTACATATGTATTATTTTGGGTAAAAAAGAGAGAGAAAATGGGGGGGAAAAGATTTATATATATATATATATATATATATATTAAAAAAAGTGATAAATATAAGAGATACATGTATTGACTTGGATGTAAGTATAACATTATTAATATAATAATGATACTCCAAAGGCAAGGAAGTCCCAAGTTTATATCGCTTGACTCGAAGAGAAGACCAAGAAATATATATTCATTGGAACAGGAAGGCTGCGGTCACCTATGGTGGCAAAAAGTATGACATGGAAATCCTTCTTTTTGTTTGGCCCATGTGACTTTACAAAAAATGTACGAAACTTCAAAGATGGCACCAATCACTATTTTTTTTGTTTTGTCCATTTTAATTAGTCAATTATTTTCAAGAGTCAAATACTAGGTCTTCTCTCTCTAGTCTCTATATTAACATAAAAAGGAGAGGCTTTGTTTGAAGACCCAGAACGAATAAAGCGATCAGGAAGAAAGGCTTGCGGAGAAAAGCGAAAGAAAAAAATATCTTTCCATATATGGAGTTCGCTTCGGGGAGATCTGTTCTTGGAGGTGGTGGACTCAAGGAAGAGAAGAGAAGTGATGAGCATAGTATTGGTGATGATGAAGGTCGTCATAAACAAGAGAATATTGTCGAGGTGAAGATTAATTCTATCATAACATCTATCTATTTAAGGGCCATCAGTTTTAACTTTTAAATAACAAAAACATCTTCTTATTTTTTTGTTTCTATAAATCTTAGTTCGTGTTGATTTATATTGGATTTTGGTATTCAAAAGGGAAAAGAAAATCAAACTTTTCTGATGGATTTTGTTTTTCTATATATATTTCTTTATATACAATTTTTATTGCGAAGATTTCGATTTTGTTTATGCAATATAGCTAAAAGTAATAAAATCATATAAATACGTGTTATATCCTTTTAGATTTGCATATATCAAAGACAATAATTACGTTATATCGTCGGATAATTCGATCATTTTTATGTGGATCATATACATCAGCTCCTTAATTAATCCCTTCTCTTTCTCCCCTTTCATCCACTGAGTGCATTATTTTCAAAGATTTAAACATATATAAAAAAATTTCTTCTATTCGTATCTTCCTTGAATTCTTTCCATGTACACAAGGCAATCTAGCTTCGCGTACAAGAAATTCAGTTAGTTAATTAGGGTATATTAATTAATAGGGACTTTGGGGTTTAATTTGCTTTTCTTCTTAAAACAGAATGTGATTTTCAATTTTGTCTTGTCATGACCCTGATGTTCATTAACAAATTGTTTATCCTAAAATCATAACCAGTAAACTTTCGTAATTTGTTTGATATAATCCATACTAAATACCTCCATAAATAAGTTAAAATCTCTAACCATAATAAAGTTTGCTACAACCTGACAAGTACATATATTAAAGTAGTATTGAATTAGTCAACTCCTGAAGATAAGATTTATATTCAAAAGAACCCGTCGGTTGAAAGTAATGAACATGTCCATTCATGCATGTAATATGCAATCTATTGAAGATACTACCATTTTATTTTTGGCATACATACTACAAAAGGGTTTCAATAATTATTAATCTACGCCTTCGATATGAGTTGAAGCATGCATGTGCCCCGAAAGGAAACTAATGATATCTAAAACATGTTAATTCACCCTGCACATGCAAGTGAAAACCAATAGATTCTCACTGGGCCAAAAAAATGGGGAAAGATTTCAATTTCTCATATATATTTCCTCATTGAATGCACTAGCTGTACAGTTCCATCATTGACTCTACTACCTGAATTCTCATTTTCCTTTTAGAAGTATTGTATTTTTTATATTTTATGTAGAAATATTATGAATGCAAGTGTGATCAGTTAATAAGTAATTAAGTCACAAGTCAATTAAGAATGGGCTAGTTAAGCAACATAAGTAAAATGACCAATAAATTTAATATTTTAAAATTTTAGGTTAAAATATAAAAATTTTTGGTAACAGATTATAATTACCAGTTTGAGATAAATCGAACTCTCTCTATCCCACGGGTTTGACTCTTTGAGCTATTGAGTTCAAAGGAAATAAGGAGAAATTGCATTTTGTATGTTCATATTAATTTGATGATTATTGTTGGTGCGATACAGGAGGCGCCCAAGGCTAATACCGAAAGATCCATGCTGGAGGCTGGACCAAGCACATCCTCAGCCAAAAAGGAAGAGGTTAAATTCATTATATACAATTAGTTTTTTTCTTTCTCATTGTCATTGTTTATGAGTCAAAAACTAAAACTCACATCATATATATCTATGGATGGTTGTAGGTGGATGATCAGCTTGAGACTACTAAAGCCGAAATGGGTGAAGTGAGAGAAGAAAATCAACGGTTAAAGATACGTTTGAACAAAATGATGAATGAATACCGGACACTAGAAATGCAATTTCATGATATAGTTAAGCAAGGAACAAAAAAGAGTGCTAAGAAAGGAAATGATAACCATCAAGAAATTATAGAGGAATCAGATCTTGTTTTCCTCAGTCTTGGAAGAGCTCCGAGTAATCCAAGAAATGATGAGAAAGTTATTAAAGTCTCTAAACCTTGGAAGGATGAAGAGTTTAATGAAAACTTGACTCTTGGACTAGACTTCAAATTTGAAACATCAAAATCAGGAAGCACAACTGAAGCTTTGCCAAATCCAAGCCCAGCCAATAGTTCTGAAGTACGAAAAGAAGAAGCTGGAGAAACTTGGTCACATACTAAGGCACTCAAGACTCTGAGAGATACAGAGGATGAAGTTTCTCAGCAAAATCCTTCAAAGAAAGCTAGAGTTTGCGTGAGAGCAAGATGTGACACCCCAACAGTAAATCTCTCTCCTCTCAGCTCATTCTTGTGGGCCTTTGTTTTCAACTTTGATACACATGCATGATACACACACATATGTAGAATATAGAAAGCTATTTAATTAATTCTCGCTTTGGTTTCTCAAAACAGATGAATGATGGATGCCAATGGAGGAAATATGGACAAAAGATTGCAAAGGGAAATCCTTGCCCTCGGGCTTACTATCGTTGCACAGTTGCACCATCATGCCCAGTAAGAAAACAGGTACCTATATGTAGCTATGTATCAAAGAAATATAAAAATTGTAAAGAATCAGTTTAACCCAAAATATTAAGGTGTTGGGTGAAAGTATTTTTAATGATTTATATTATTCTTTAACAAAAATAATTGACGGGCTTCGCTTGCCAGCTTGAACTGTCGGGTAAAAATGGTTGTTTTACACGATATCATAGCCTACTTATGAGTTTGATTTTCGTAACTTCTACTTTCTAGTAAAATTAATTATGGGAATTACTTTTCTTATGTTACATAAACATTTTGTATCTCCTACATTCACATTTTTCAAATGAGTCCCGCAAGATTTTTTTTCTCTCACTTCCAACTTTTCTCTCTCTCCTAACTTTTGTTTGAGCATGAGATAATTATATGAAGTATTACCCATTAATTATATGAACGAGTTTGCGTAATATTCATGCTTCTAGCTTACGAGCTATAGTTGTTGAGTAGAAATGATTGTTTTACATAAGCATTACATAGACATTTTGATTGAGTTTCAATTTGTTACATATTTGAGATTCTATTATATATATTATGTGTGAAATATTTCAGGTGCAAAGATGTGTTGAGGACATGTCAATTTTAATCACTACCTATGAAGGGACCCACAACCACCCTCTTTCTCTTTCAGCTACTGCAATGGCTTCCACAACTTCTGCAGCTGCTTCCATGCTATTATCTGGTTCATCAAGCTCTCACTCTGGCACAATGCCTTCAACAACCACAACCAACAATGCTGCTAATCTCTATGGCCTGAATTTCTATTTACCAGATGGTTCCAAATCAAAGCAGTTATTCCTGTCTAACCCTGCACTATCATCTTCACCTTCACATCCAACCATCACTCTTGACCTCACTTCAAACCCAAGCTCTTCCTCATCTCCCTTTGTTAGATTTACTTCAAACTACAACCAACCTAGATACCCTTCATCCACAAGCCTAAACTTCAGTGCTTCCTCAGAATCCTCCAATGCAATGTCTTGGAGCAATGGGTTCCTCAACTACGGTACTCGACCATATAACAATAATAGGAACATTCTTAGCAATGTAAACTTTGGAAGACAACCAATGGAAAATATCTACCAATCCTATATGCAAAAGAACAACAACTCAATCCCTCCTCAAAGTGCTCAAAATGCTCAACCAGATAATATATCTGCAGCAACGAAAGCAATCACAGAAGACCCTACTTTTCAATCAGCTTTGGCAGCAGCACTTACTTCATTTATTGGAGCAGGAACTGATATTGGAAGCATCCAAGGAAATCAAGGTGTTGGAGAAAACTTGGGTCAGAAAATGAAATGGGCAGAGCTGTTTTCAGCGTCTAATACTTTGCCTTCAACTTCGAAAGTCAATGGTTGTGCATCGAGCTTCTTGAACAAAACATCCACGAATACACAAACGGGAAGTTTAACATTGCTACCACCGTCTTTGCCATTTTCTTCTCCCTCCAAAAGTGCATCTGCATCTCCTGGTGATAATAGCGATAACACCAAATAATCGGTTGTATTTGTCTTTTTAGATTGCATTGATGTAATTGAGAGAGATGCTGAGAAAATTTTAGCATATAGTCATATTTGAACATTGTTGAACATATATGTTTTCCCTTTGATTTAGTGATGAAATATTGATAGGAGTGGTACATATCGAAATATCTTACACGCGGTTTGATTTTCTCGTGTTAATTGAGAATTCAATTCTCATGTGTTAGAAAAAATTATATGTAGGACCCATGTCAGCACGGAAATTGAAGGGTGTGTAGAAAAATTTGAATTCACATGTTAAATAAAAATTATAAAACCCATCTTATATATATATATATGAAAAATGTTTCTGCAGTTAATGCAGATAAATTATCTGCATTTATTCTCAAAACGACGTCGTTTTGGTATTGAAATCTTAAAAAATTATAAATATAAAAACTATTATAATCCTGAAATAAATTAAAATTACAAAAACACCATGATTTCCATTCCAAAACGACGTCGTATTGACTTACTGCAGATAAGTTATCTGCAGTAACTGCAGAAAAAGCGAACCCTATATATATATATATATATATATATATATATATATATATATATATTTTTCAGGATTATAATTTTAATTTATTTCAGGATTATAATAGTCTTTATATTTATAATTTTTTAAGATTTCAATACCAAAACGACGTCATTTTGAGAATAAATGCAGATAACTTATCTGCATTAATTGCAGAAATATTTTTCCCATATATATATACACATGGAATCTCGAGTACTACGGAAATCAAATTATCCTTAATATTCTTATAATAATATTATGGGTAGTAGTATTATACAATAGAGAAAAAATAGTCAAAATTAATCTTGATTGTTGAATTTAAGGTGATCGTTGATTAAGATAAAGTGATGAGAAGCACTCATTAATCTAAGATTCTATTTCTATAGTAAGTATATTAATTTTTTGTCAAAAATTCGGACTACTGATTTTATTTTTAAATTTTAAAGAAGAAAAATATTTTTTTTTAAATTAAAAATCATGGGTTATAATCACATTTAATTGATGATATATCTAACAAATAATGTCAAAGTGACTTAGTGCATTGAAACAATTGATGCATGCACGGGTGTTCGCTGTTTGGATTGGATTGGTTTCGAAAGTAAAATTCATCTGATCCAATCCCTTCAGCTTGATCATGTAATTATCAATTCGGTTTGTATTTTTTTTAAATCCGATCTGATCCAATCCAATTTTTTTCGGTTTGGATTGGATCAGTTTTCTGTTTTTTGAAAATTCTAAGATTTGTTTCATGACTATTGTGCAAATAACATCTTTTGTATATATTGGTTTTGTAAAAAAAAATTAAATATAAAAACATCAGTAAACAATAATATAGTTTGTTGTTTTTTTAGGTAATGAGATATGAAGCTCTACACAGATAAAATTTTGTTGATGCATGAGATATGACTAGATTATTTCTTGGGTTTAGTTGATGGGTAATGAGTCTTGGGTTTAGAATTTTTTGGACTATAATTGAGGAAAGGCCCAAGCAGGTAGAGGTGAATTAATATATTGAATCGGTTTGGATTGTATTGGTTTTCATCAACCAATCCGAAAACCGATCCAATCCGATTAAAATGTACGTTTTTTTTTTTCGGTTTTCGCTTTTTCAAGTCGGTCATCGCGGTTTGAGTCTGTTGATGAACACCCCTAGCTCTCACAAGAAAATAACTCATTAAATATATGCGATATTATTGACCTTTTTTCATGCAACTGTCAAATTTAATTTTGAAATACAACAATTTAATACAAATTTGTAGTTCAGTGAACGTAGATATGACCGGGAATGTTTTCTAGATGGTGGATAGGTAGATGTAAATGTGAAGTTCAACCAGTGCCACATATATCATTTTGTAAAGAACCAATTCAACTCAAAAATTTAAACTATTTGATAAAATTATATTAATAATTTTATATATCTCTAATATAATTTTTCTGTAGTTCCTTTAGAACCAAATTAAACGAGGCAACCATGGCCTAGTGGACCAAACTAATATATATGCACATACATGTAGAGCAAATACGTACATATATGATATATCGGTCTTGTTGTACACAAATTAACGTGGCATTTTCACTGTCTTTCTACCGTTGGGTCATATGTCTATAGTAATGACTAATTCTAAATTATATTATTAATAATGTGTTACTCTGACTAAAGAATTGGGGATGTAGCTCAAATGGTAGAGCGCCCGCTTTGCATGCGGGAGGTACAGGGTTCGATCCCCTGCATCTCCAATTTTTTAAATTTTATTGCTAATTTTGAACTTTCACACATTTGCTACTTTGTGTTTGTGGCCTGGTTCGAGCTTTCCTTTCTTTTCTGCATATGTGGACCTTAAATTTATAAAACATAAGTGAGCATTGAGTGATACTATTTTTAGTATGTTAGTTCACATAAGTTATGTGAATCAAATTTATACAAAAGAAATTGTTACTTATGAAATCTCGTTACACCTTCTTTCTTTATTAATAATTCTGACTTTATATCATTCTACATTTTTATTTGTTAAGAAATTGGAAAAAAAAACTCTTTTCTGAGAATTTCGAAGCAACGTAAGACTAAATTATCAGATATAGATGACTAAATAAAATATTTTATATTTTAAAAACACATAAAACATAAGTTAGTTATCATCAAGGATGCTCAATGTTAAACCAGGCCACATTTGTGACTTGGTTCAATGCTTTCCTTTCCTTTGTACATATCTCTTCTTTGTGATTCTTTGTAATAAGTTATGTGGATCTTAAATTTATAAAATATAAGTGAGCACTAAGTGATACTATTTTTAATATATTAGTTCACGTAATTTTTGTGAATCAAATCTATACAAAAGAAATTGTTACTTACGAAATCTCGTTACACCTTCTTTCTTTATTAATAATTCTGACTTTATATCATTTTGTATTTTTATCACGGACTGTTTTTTAAGAAATTTGAACCACACTTTAAGTTAGCATGGTCCCATTTGATATTATATAATATTTTGAAATGTATAATTTTTAAAATTAAGAATGAATTTTAATGTTTTAAATTATTTATATATTATGCATATTATAATATTATTCTGATATTAATATAATTTTCAAAAATATTTATTCTTTCTTGTAAAATTATTTCAATTAAACATGTATCATGTGTAAATTTTGGCGCAATCTCAACTAGTTAAGTCATAATAATACGGGAGCAAATAAAAGAAATTACCTGATCGAAATATTAGACCATATCAAACTCTATATACGAGTAAAAGTTTAATTTAATAATAGCAGTTTTTATTAGAATTATAAAATAAATATTATAAAAACTTAAAAAATAGTTATAAATTGTTAAAAAATAATAATAAATAGGGTCTAAAATCTATATAGAAAAAAAAACAGCAGACCAAATTTCTTTTACAACGTATGGCTTAAATTTTAAGTTGAGAGAAACCGGATTTAAACATAACATTGGTTTAAGAATTATTTTTTTAAAAGTATTTTTTGTAAAAAAAAACTTTAAAAAAGTATTACCATGACATGACTAATAAAAAAAAATTCGCATCATAAATACTTAAACAAAATCAAATGACATCTTAAAAAAATCAAATCAAATCAAATAGTGTAATATCTTATAATAACAATACAACATTTACAGTCTTTTTAGTTAAATTCTCTTATTAAATTTTTGAGTATTGTACGAGTAGCTAGTTGCTGATTAACTAGCAATATATTATCGAGCGAACTCCAAGTAGCCCAAAAATACGAGGAACCCAATTTATTTATTTATTTTAATATAACGGGAGCACTCAGGCTCACCGGAGAATTGATTGTGGTCCGAGACTATTATTTTTTAGGTGGTTCTTTAATATAAACGGAAGGATAAAATTGGAAAAGAAGAAAAATAGCAGGGATAAAATGGGAAACAAAAATTAGTGTTATGAGAGGGAGCACCAAATCCCAGGTTCACACGTATGATTATTAGGGTCTGTTTGGAGCACCTGATAAAGAAGATAGGATAGGATAACTTATCATGTTCTACTTTTATCTCTTGTTTGGTGGGTCAATAGGATATAATTAGTTTATCCTATTGTCTCATTTTATCCAATTCAATACATAATTTCAGATTTCTTATCCTACGCGGGGAGCTGGGTTAGGATTTAATACGATAGGATAACAATATAGGATACCCAGGATATTCTCACTCTACCCAATATATCCTCACGTTACTCAATATATTTGTATTTATTGCATTATATTTTGTTTTTTGTTTTTCATTTTTTCTTCTACATAATCTTATCATATTGCTAATCGCGTGCTCATCAAACTGATATGGTATAGGCTAATCAACTCCATATCATATTTTATTCTTATCAACCCTATATCATCATATCCTACATTTCTCCTATCTTGTCCACCAAACGAGCCCTTAAAGTCTGGTAATTAGAAATATAATGGATACTTGTTTTAATAGAAAAAGTTAATCTCATGTAATAAGAGAGAAATTTTCTTATGTTATAGAGATATTATATATGAGACTCACCCACCTATAAAAGAATAATAATAAAAAATCGATATATGTACAAGAAAATATTTTCCATCAATATAAAAGTATATTTTTAAAAGAAAATATATACTGATTATTTAATTATAATTTTTAGTACAAGTTGATGAACGATGATTGTTGATTGACATAAGCCTATTAAAAAAAGAAAAAGAAAAAGAAAAAGCAAATAAATTAAAGTGAGGGTGGGGGGAGATGGTGATTAGACCTCAACCCCAATCCAATAACAGGACACTTCTAAATTCTAAGATGAATATGAAAAGAATAAACCAATAACTTTCATCTCCGCCGCACCCACAACCTTCCCTTCTTTGAATGATCTTGCTTTCCCCTTTCACAACCTCAATCGGACTCACACTCACACCTTCCGGGTGAGTCAATTTCTTCTTCTTCTTTTTCCCTCCTTTTTAAATTGAATTATTTTTTTAAAACAGAATAAAATAATTTTGTTCTCTTGTTTATTCGAGTTTACAATTTTTCTGTACTGGACGGTGGTGATGATTGGTGCAGAGGGTGGATCTACATCAAATCCCTTTTTCATTTTTTTTGTTCATTATGAATTCCTACTATTTGTTGATTTTGGGGTTTTGTGCTCTGTTGCCGATGAGGCTGCAAGCCTGCAATATGAGATTAGTGGGGGAATTAAATCGTTTTTTTTTTTTTTCTATTCTTGGCGTGAAATTATTGCCCTAGGAATTATGATTGTGGAAAATTTTCCGAGTAAAATTATGGAATGATAGGTTTACGATTAACGTTCAGGGTTTCAAAATGTGTTTCGAGTCTTACCTTCATTTTCGACGTCTATGGTCTATGTTGACAAAACATGAATTATGGTTCTCTACCAGTGGAATCAGAATTGGCCTATTGGATGTGTCTTTTATGCATATAGTGTGAACTAGGTTTTGTTTTGTTGGATTTTCATTTATTTATTTATTTTGTTAAATAGAAAATTGAAGTTTATATCGTTTTCTATTTGTGGCTGTGGATTTTTAGCAATGTCGACTCCTGCTAGGAAGAGGCTGATGAGAGATTTTAAGAGGCTGCAGCAAGATCCACCTGCTGGAATCAGTGGTGCTCCCCAGGATAACAACATAATGCTGTGGAATGCTGTCATATTTGGGTGAGTTGAATTGAAATTGGGTAAAGATGCATTGTTCACTTTCTTGTATAATATAGTCATCTCATTTTATATTATGTTATTTTATTTTTTATTTTTTCACTTTGTTTAAGTATGGATGGATAAGCAATTTCTGCTTTCTTGTCTGCTTTGGATTGCAGTCCAGATGATACTCCATGGGATGGAGGTGAGTCTGTCCTTTAACCACGGCTCCTATCTGAAAACGATTTTGACACACGTGTCGACTAGGTTATTTAGCCATCTTGTGTATTACATGCAATTTTAATGATTCTGATGTATTAGATGAGTTTGCTTTCTAGATGGTATTAGAATCATGTTGCAAAGAATGTTGTGGCCCTTTCATGGATGTCCTCAATAGGTGTCTAGGTTATCATACTTCTCTATGGTTTGATGGTATTTTATGGTTTTCTTTCTCTCTTTTGTTTTGGTTTCCAATCTTCATTCTAACTCTTGTCTATTGTCTTATTGATACTCTACTTAATGTGCCTATTAGAGATTATATTTACACTTTGAAGGAGAGATTTATATTCTCAATTCTTTTTTCCCCATGGAGCTGTGTTGTACTTTAGCTTGCAAAATTGGGTGATCATGGTGCTATAGTCTTTACATATTTGGATGTCATATTTTCTGTCTCGTGACATTGTCATGATATTAGATATATTTACATAATTACATGTCTACATATTTTGAGTTATTCAGGCACGTTTAAGTTGACTCTCCAATTTTCTGAGGATTATCCAAACAAGCCACCAACTGTACGGTTTGTGTCTAGAATGTTTCATCCAAACAGTAAGTTTTAGGTGGTAAATATTAACCTTTTTATCCATAAATTAGCTATCTAGCTATCAATGTAATTTTTCTACTCTGTGCAGTTTATGCGGATGGAAGTATTTGTTTGGATATATTACAAAATCAGTGGAGTCCTATATATGATGTAGCTGCTATACTCACTTCTATCCAGGTATCATTTTGTCAAGTATAGTCAACAATATCTACATTTCTTTTCATCTTTGTATATTTAGCAAAAGAAGAAAGCAAGCAGATATACTTACATGATTAACCCTACACTTGAGGTTTGGTTTTCTTTGCCTCTGGATGTGTGCAGGCCACTCTGCCCACACCAACACTTCTTTGCTCAATTTCATGCACAATCCAGTTGCATTGCTCATTAGTTACACCTTTTTGTCTATTGAAGAATTATCTACTTTAAGGCATTACCCGTCATTGTAACATGTCCCTTTCTGTTTGCTGACTCATGTCTTGATTCACTGTGATGTTAACTTGGTTTTTCCCTTTGTCTCCATTGCTTTTACCTTTTTTTTTGTCAAAGTTTGGAATATGCATTTCTGGACTTTAGTTTTTAAAAGACTATCATGGTCTTGTTCTCTTTGCCAAACCCAAAGCACTTTATTTTGTTTTACTAGAACCCAGTTTTTAATTATTCTTATATTCTTTGCGAGTCCTTTTATATCCCAGTTTAAAATCAGATATCATTGACTATCAGACGAGTGTGGTGTAATTCCAGCCTTTAAGCCTTAATATTCCTTAATGCCTTTTATAGGACAAGCTTGTTTTCTTAGCTTTCTTGTTGGTGGGGCTTGTAAGAATTTTTTTAGGTCCGACATGCAAAGGGACGCATTGCTGTTCTGATCTGATGTATTTTCACTGCTTTAGGAGACGTTCAGACCCTCCTGTTTTGTAGAATTCTCTTAATGGATTCTGATAAGATCCAGGTGTTTTGTTACATAGAAATTGGGATAAGCTCCAATTACAAAGATCAAAATCACTCAAAAATAAGAAAAAGAAAGACAGAATGCTGCAAAACTTAGAGGGTCTGCAAACCTGCCTGCCCATAGCCCCCAAAACTCACTCGGTGGCTAGATGAACTTCTCGCCTACCTATTCCTCCCCATTTATTTTTGCTTCTCACTGTTTCCCTCTTCTTCCCTCCCACCTTGCTGCTTAGGCAAGGTTGTTACAATCAAATTCCCTCTTCTTCCCCTTACTCATAATTCCCATGTGGTCTAGCATTGGAGTGTGTAACAGTATTTCCCCCTAAAAGATTCACCTTGTCATCGAGCTGAAGGTTAGCCAGTGAAAGACGTTCCACTAAGGTCCTTCTGCATGAATTGTAAGGACCAATTTACTTATGATGCATAATGTTAAAACCCAGGAGTAAGAATAAGGCTTGAAATGGAGACTGTGGAAGTTTTATTGAGGTCAATGATATCTAACTGATATCAGAGTCATGTAAAATGATATTACAGTATAGAGAGATGGGATTACAGTATAGAAATGGAAATGAAATTTGATAGTAGCAGGCTTTCGAGAGGCCTGGTCTCTCCCCTTTACAGCTTCTCACTCAGATCTAGTTTACCCCTCTCCTTTCTCTTCTCTATTCTTTTGCCCCTCCCCTCCTGAAGTTGTTACAGCTGCCTTAACTAATTTTCCCGCCCTGGGTTCAGTCACACTTTTGTATGTTGGCCCTTGCTTGGTGTGATGCTCCCTTGGACACCTGTCTAGAATAAACTCTAGTAACAGGTGGCTTCACACATAATTATTTCCACTGGGTCCCATTTCCCTTCTTGAACTTCCATTGTGGTCGCCAAAGCTGCAAACTACTCAGTCATATATGTAGCAGTTTTATATTCATGTAGCACAGGTTGGTAAACTCTTGATCCTCAAGGTAAGCAAGAGAAATATTCTTCAGAGCATGCTTGGCCATCTTAGAGTGATTGAACACATATTCTTCTGAGCTCCTATTATATTTCATTGTGCTGAGGAATAGGGGTGTAAATGCATAAAGTTAGGTTAGGCTTTGGCCTTAATGGCCTATGCCTATGTAAAACATTTAGAGCCTACTCCGTCCTATTAGCCTGTTAAAAGCTTGGTTTATAGGCCTGACTTGGCCTAGTGGAAAAAAATGAAAAGTCTAATATAGCCTATTAAGCCTACCAAGTTGCAAACCAAACTAAAATAAAAAAGATGAAATTTCTCATTCTTTAAACAGTGTTTCCAGCAAGAGTCCAAATTATAAAAATTCTAACAATTTTTTAGCAAGATCACAAATATCCTTAAATAATGTTTATAACAACACATGAAATAGTTATTTGTAGGAGCTTTTTCTTTGCTCTTGGCAGTCTTCACAATCTTTTAGTTAGCCTTCTTATTATCTTCCTCCTCCTTTGATTGATCATTTTCACTTTTTGTGCCACTCAAACATTATCTTCCTGAAAAATAAAATCAATCAAAAGAAAGAAAAATAATTTTTGGGGATGCCATAATCAAATCCAGAAGTAGTTTATCTTAAACGAAGTAATGACCAATCATACAAGATAAGTAGTTTAAGGGGAAGTAGCATCTGTTCCAATAAATAAAACTTCAAATGCACATAGGAAGTTATAGAAAAAATTTGTATAAGATATAACAAATAACAGCTTTTTTGCCCTAAGATGGTTATTTTCATTTCTATGTTATATAAATTTTATATTCCTAATACATGACTCCTATTATCAGTTGAGTTCTATTTCAAAAACTTTGAAATATATAGACACACGCTCACACATGCACGCACGCAGACACACATATATGATTTGGACTTTCTTTATTAATTTAAATTAATATTATATTTTGAAATTTAAATAAATATTTATAAATTACTAAAACAACATCAATCCCATTACTTTGAAAAGTAGTGTTACAAATCATGATTTCAGGAAATGTCTTTTGGTCAAAATGATTTTCTTAAATTAACTAAAAAAAAGTAACATGGCAGAACTCAGAGCCAGTAAGAAAAATTCAAGTGACTACAAGAACAACATTACCTTTGAATCCTCTTCGTTTAAATATGATGATGGGTTTGTTAATGTGTCACTGTTGTACAATCGCAATACTACTCCAATAAATCCAGGTATTGTTCGAACCTTAACAATATACTCTACTATGCTCCACAATTTGCGTACTTGGGAGTTTGTAGCGATGTTATTGTTCCGATGTTTAAAGCCCAGTAACTACTCAGTAGAGTCAGAGGCAATGCTTTTCAAACCTACAAGTTAAAGAAGATGAAATCCCATTATTTGATCATGAGTGGCGAGGAGGAAAAGTAAACATCTAAAACAAAAGGATACAATAAAATCAGAATAAACAAAATAATGCCACTTGGTGATGTAAAGCTACTGTTTTGCCCAAGCTGAAAAATGAATTTAGATGTGAAGCAGTGGAAGAAAGAGCAAAGACGGGTGAGACCGTGACTGCGTGAGAGTGTGAAGTGAAGCAAAAGAGAAAAGAAATTAGGGTTAGGAGAAGTGAACAATATATATCATAAAGGGGTACGATATTGTAACAACCAATTAGTGTTACTACCAATGTTACTACCAATCAATTTCACCGTTAGATTGATTATGTTGATCCAACGGTTATATTTATTTTCATCTTTGTATGGTTATGATTCCCCATATTTAGTATGAAAGCATTAAATATGAGAAATCATAATCATACAAAGGTGGAAATAAATATAAAGTATTAAATATGGGAAACCATAACCATACAAAGATGGAAATAAATATAACCATTTGATCAATATAATTGATCTAACGGTGAAATTGATTGGTAGTAACATTAATTGGTTGTTACAATATCCTTCCCCTATCATAAATATATTATTTTATTAAAAAATTTAATAGGTCAACCTGCAGGCTTTTAGGCTAGGCTTTTCAGAGTGGGTTTATGGCCTAATTTTTAAACGGTTTTTTCTAAAAGCATAAACATACTCTATTTTCTAAATAGATCAAGCTAGGCCAGACCTAAGATAGGTCAAGCTGTAGGTTCCTAATAGACCGCATAGTCCATTTACACCCCTAGTGAGGAACTCTGCTATCAAGTTCACTTGCAAGCTTCTTCCTGATGAATGTTCAAACAGCACGTACAGCATCAGGATCTGCAACTTCCATCATTTCTCCCTCACCAGGTGTAGTGATTGCCTTTTCCACAAATTCTTTGTCCAGACTTGAGTCGCCTAGTATACTTTTGAACCCTTCCTCAAACTTGGGATTCAGAACCAGCTGTTTGTCATGTTGCAAATCATCCACTAAGTTGAGCATAAGCTTTTGTGCTGAAATTTGATCAGCCTTCCAATTGTTTAATTCATCAGAATCATTAGCCAGTAGAAAAAACAGGTCACCATCACTTAGATTGCATTCAAGATGGATTGGTGTACTGTACCCACTCAACAAAGATGGAACCGGCATATCAAATATATCAGAGAACCATTCTTCTTTCTTGGTAACTTGAAGGATTATAGTGTAGACTGCTTTATCATTGCTCGAAAATCATCTTAAGTAGTCGAAGAGGAATATCATTGCCAGTTGAATCAAGCAAGCCTACTGCCACCAGAATGAACATGGGTTCCTTAATTGGTTGCCCTGGAGTTGGTGATATCTCTTGACTAATCTTTAAAGGAAAAGAAGAATTAACAACCTTGCAACTATAGGCAAGGTTGTTACGATCCAAATCCCTCTTTTGCCCCTTACTCATTCTTCCCACATGGTCAAGCAGAGGAATACCTAACAGATTCTTTTGCCAAAAAAGATCACTGAACCAAACTTGTAGGAGAAGCCTGTTATATTTGTTTTGCACGCACACACATATATATGTGTAGGGTGGGCTAGATGTGAGTATTGGAACACTCTGGAAACTGGGAATTGAACCTGGTATGAAGTGTATATGTGTATGTGTGTGTATTTGTTCTCATTTTTGTTTACAAGGGGGGAGGTCCTAAGACTTGGTGAGGGGATGTGAAGGATGCGCTAGATGTGGGTAGTGGAACTCAATGGAAACTGGGAATTGAACCTAGTATGAGGTGTGTTTGTGCGTGTTGATTCCCCTTTTTGTTTACAAAGGAGGCCCTAAGACTTGGTTAGGAGATGTGAAGGTTGTGCTAGATGTGAGTATTGGAACTCACTGGACACCTGGAATTAAACCTTGTATGAGGTGCTTCTTAGAAAATTGTGTGCTACTGGGCAACAAGGCCATCATTGGCACGTATATCAGTTTTTTACTTGTCTATTATTATTTTAAATCTAGCATATTAAATATCTTTAATATGATTAGCCATGCTTCTATGTTGCCCTGCACTGGGCATCATGGTGCCAGTATACCCTTGTTGCAAGAGTATGAGGCGCAGTGGCACACCATTTGCTACGGATGAGATAATCTAGAACATTACCTTTTGCCATTCTGATATGACCTGCAATATATCAGCTTCTAGGGTGATTGAAAGTAGAGAAGTTTTTTATGCATGATCGAATTGCTATCTTCCTGATTCTATCCCAATATTGTATTTGGAAGTTTCAGGGGAACACTTTTTTCCATATGTAAATAGAATACTCTCTTGTTAAAAAAAAATTATTTGATTTATCCGTGCTATGTAGTAGTCAGCATGTTATCATTATTTTCTGAATGGTAATTATTCCATCTTGGCAGTCATTGCTCTGTGACCCCAACCCAAATTCTCCTGCAAACTCAGAAGCAGCGCGAATGTTTAGCGAGAACAAGCGTGAGTACAATCGAAGAGTGAGGGAAATTGTGGAGCAGAGTTGGACAGCCGATTAAGCTCATCTTTATATGCATGTAGGCCTTTTAAGGCATGTGTTAGGTTGCGTTGCTACCTATAAGAATCATTGTGCAAACTTACAAAATTCCAAGTCTTATTCCTTGCTGTTTTGAATGTTCCGATCATCTTATCTTTAATTCATAGTAGTTTTTGGGTTGGCCATGTCAGTTCCTGTAATATAGAATTCTCTGTCAATTTGAATCAGATTGTTGTCAACACAGTTCAATTTCGTTTATATTGTATGGGTGGGTCATTTTATGATATGCTCTGACACAGTGCACTATGCTTGCTAGAATTTCCGTCTATGTTTGAATAACTTTTGCTTTCGAAGTCCTATACGTGCATGATTTATGAAGTAGTCTTTTGTTTTATATATATAGATTGTAATATACTTGGTAAACATGGCTATACTGACATTGTATCTAATATATTATATAAAGTAAGATTTATGCATGTTATGTGTCATCATTAATTATTTGATTATATTTAGTTATGTTTGGCATACAAAGGTTTGATTTCGTTTAATAATAGATGAATTAAAAAATATAAAATGTTCATATTTTAATTTGTCGTAATATTTTAAATTTTTTCACACTAAGTTATTTTATTATTTTTATCTTTTATATTTTGGTTCTGTTTAAATTTTTATATTTTAGAGTTTCATTTTTTAACTTTTTCAGTTTTTTAAGGTAAGCTATTTTTATACTATTTGAGTGGCTTTTCTTTTTTTAAATTTTTTTTCTGATATTTTGCATTTAGAGTTTGTTTACTGGTATTAATTTGTTGCTTTTACGTTTTCATCTTATTGAGATGTCACAAAACTCTTAAAAGATGAGAGAAGAAAAGGAGCTTTGTTAGGGCCCGTTGATTGAAATTTTAAAATAATTTTTCTTTTATTTCATTAATTAGTTCATTTCATCTAATAATTTTTGGTTTGACATAGAAAAGATTCATTGCATTTAATAACATATGGACTTAAATCAATTTTTTATGTTTTCAAATTACAAAGGATACGCACTATATAAGTTCTTTCTAGTATTTACCTAACATTAAATTATTGATTTTATATTTTATATTTTTCATTTTGATTTAATTTATTTTTGGTGTGTTAAGTTTTTGGTTCTTTATCTGATGTAAGTTTCTATTTTACTTTTTTCATTATGTTCTATAGCTTCCTTATTTTTTTCTTCAAAATTTTCATTGGTATTTTACGCTTAGAGTTTGCTTGATAACGTTATTTTGCTTCGATGCTTCTACAGTTTCAAAATAAAAAGAACGGTCAATCTAGAGCAAGTGAAGGTAATGGACACCATTATTTTTTATGCTTTTTTATTTATTTATTTTCTTTGCACAGGTGTTAACGCAATTATAGGAGGAGAAAGCATAGTTCAGATTTGGGAGAAAACCTTTGGTGTATCTGTTGTAGTTACTCCATACTAGTAGGGTAAATTTTTTGAGACTTAAAAGAAATTATAAAAAAAAAATATGGGTTAAAAAGAATTCTTTCTTTCTTTTTCTGTGACGCTTTGAGTTAATATCAGTGCGAGTTAATAAATGAATATACAAATCCAGTCTTCTGTGACGCATTGAACCTCACTTTTGTTTTAGGGGGAAAAAAATTCACTTCACAAGAAATCCAATTTTGATGCCTTACTCAAACACAACAACATAGATTGAGGTAAAGTAAAAACAAGACAACAATAAAGGGAAGATAAGTATAGAACACACTGCACGATTGGATTTGTGATGTGAATTAATTTGTCAATTTGTCACTCACCCATTTTATTTTTGTTTTTTTATTAATAGGGAGTAGTATTTGTTCTTTAAATGAACATAAATTTATGTTATTTAAGTAAGAAAAAGAAAATTATTTTAAGTGAGAAAAAAAAAATACATAATGAGAATATGAAGAAAAAATGGGTGGTTTTTTATAATTTAAATTTTAAATAAAAAATACTAATTTTAACTAAAATCACCATTATTTAAAAGAGACGTTTTTCCCTTAATAATATACATCCAATCCAATGATAATGTTTATGGAATATTCAATCCGAGCAACCCAAATGGACACTGACGACAATCGGGTGTGAAAACAGTCAATATCTTTTAATATGATCATTTTAACATACACATTCATCATATAAAAGATCAGAAAGCATTGAGATTCGCATAAATATCGGAGAGTAAATAATAAATACACGAAAGATACAGAATTATGTCAGAAATCTATAGTCTTCATAAATTAAAATCAACTATAAACCAACCATAATATTCAATACAGCTTGGTTTGATTAACAACTGTATATTAGGAAACAAGCACAAAACATTCTAAGTGATCAAACAAGAAGAAATGCAGCTTTCGACAGCAGACGGTAAGAAAACAATTTTAATCTGTACTACAGAGAAGCAAGCTCCACACTCATAGAACAAACACTATAGACAAACTTTGAAATTTGAGAGCAATAAAAATTCAGAAATGCAAGCTCAAAAGCCTTGTTTACACTTCTTCTGTCAAACTGATCTCATCAGTAGTATGAACGTCCTACGAGAGAGAGAAGCAATATATTAGCCATTCTCTTTATCTTCTTTTTCAACACAAATTGTAAAAAGTAAAAACTACACTTCATAGTAGTAAGCCACTTACCATATTTTCTTTGTTTCCCTGTACATTATCTTCAGCAAGTGTAGTAGGGTTGAGCGGAACTGTGAGAGCAAATAAATCATACCAAGGTGTTAGACTAAGTGAACTAAAATATATCAAAAGTAATTTACCAAAAATAAAAAATAAAATATGATAAAAGAGAGTTGTACTCTTGCCTTCTTTAACATTAGATTTCTTTCCCTTCTCCTTATTAGTTTCGTGCTTACTTGGCTTCTCTGATTTTTTAACTGACCTACGATTCCCACTGTCAAAGGCATGTCTTGAATTTGCGGAGCTCATTCTGAGATTTTCTCTCAACCTGGATGATCCAGGAGTATTCTTTTGACGAGTTTCCTTCTTGGTTGAGTCTGATGTAACAGGAGTAGTTGGAGTAGAATCAGTGTTTGAGCACTTTGGTTTTACTTTTCCAGCAGCCATGGTAGAAGAAGAAATGTAGCAGTGCACTTCGTCATCAGAGGATGGAGCTCCCAACTCTGGCATCTGTGAAATAGTTTCAGACAATTGCGACTGCTCTATGTTTTCTTCAATATTATAGCTTTCAAGCAGTTCTTTCACTTGTTCTCCAAGTTCAGCAAGTTGATGTCGTCGCACATAAGATTTTAGCTCATCTTGCATTTTCTGGAAAGGCTATGGTTGATATTTAAACAAAGAAACCATGAAAAAAAGAAAGAGGTTCAATGAATGGTAACTGCACAAATCCATAAAGAAAATATGGCTGGATAGTGGTTAAATAGATCCATCGGAACTAAAAACAGTTAACAAGGAGAGACAATTGAAACAGGCAGAAAATAATTGATGGATGTGTGTTTGTGCATTGCCTATTGATTTGTGGTGTTACCTCACATCCTGCCTCCAAAGCTAGTTTGAAGAATCCAAGTGAAACTGAGTGCTTGGCAGCAGATTCAGAGAGTTTGATCTGGTTTAACCAATATGAAGCTGAAGACAGGAGATTGAACTTCATTCGGCTGGATGTTCTGGAAATGTCAGAAGTGGGTGTTTGGGTTCTGCTTTGTGGCCCTTGGCCATTACCAGACCTCCTTGTTCTGGCCTCTGAGATTGGGGTAATGTTGCCAACAAGCTTTGTGCTTGGAGTGACAGATGCTTTGGTAGGAATGGAAAGCCTTCTTGGTGGTTTAGCACTGGTAGACTTGTCCTTGCCAGAGAAATCAAGAACACTCACACTTTTACTTACACTGGGAGTACTTCTCCCACTGAAAATGAAAATTAGAATTTTTAAACATATACTCTACTTCGATTTCACACACACAAAGAAAAACAAAAAGGGGCCACTTATTTCATGTTGTCTTAAGAGACAGGGCAAACAGCAAAGCAATTAAAAAGTGAGTCCAGGAAACGAGTACTGGTTAAGGAATTAAAAATTTATTACAAAAAAAAAAAAAAAAGGAATTAAAAATTAACAAGTATTTAACGAAAAAAACTCCTTAAACTGCCTTTAAAAAGTACTGTAATTAATGTTGGAAGTGGTGACTCCAAGATGTAAAATGTCCGATAACATTTTGGTCCCAATCAGAATGCTGAGACTTGAACTGTCAGAGGATACAAAGATTGCAACTTTACCGCAAAAAACAACGAATCTCGAGTTCTCAATATTCCTTATCAGTGCCGGGAATGCCATCCGTATAAAAACCCAAATTGGTAAGATCAAAATTAAATCTCTCTAAAATTATCGTACAAATCACGTTCCTCTAAATTACGAGAAACCGCATAGTTCTGGCAATTCTGAGAATTCAGATTCACATGATTCATTTGTTTAGACATGCGTAAATTCGAGAGTTGTATAATAGAAACAAAATGTAAGGAAGAAAGTACCTCTTAGATTCAGAAGAATTGGAGCGATCAGATGCATCTGGCTTGAGATCCTTGGATTTAGTGGAAGAACGGAGTGCATATCTCAGAAGCTTGGGTCTCGCAGAGTTCCCTGAAACAGAATCACCTAATTATATTGTCTTCATCGTATGTTACTATTACAACAACTTTGTAGACATGCTTAAATAAATAGATTCAATTGAGTGAGAGAGAGAGAGTACCAGAAACACCAGCAGAGGGCTGTTCCTTAATGGGTTCTTCTTCCATTGTCTGGTCTTGAATTGAAAGCAACACACTGATTTCTGAGATTGAGATGTTCTGTTACTATGTAACTGCTCTTCCTACGTTTTGAGTTTTAATAATAATCAAAAAAACAAGAAACGCGCTTGAGTTGTCTGCTTTCGACAAGTGTCCTAGGAAGCGGGAAAAGGCAAAACTCAAAATGTAATGATGCTACGACTACAACGGGAGATCGCTGACGTGGAAGCACTTCTTTTCAAAGGAAGAGTGGGTGGGGGGCGCTGCGCTGTCGTGTATTCGAATTTCAAATTTCAAAACACATGAGCTGTTATTTATTCGGTCTTTGTTCCGTTTAGACAAAAACTTCTTTACGGATTGTACCCAAAAAAAACCTTCTTTAATTTTTTTTTTTGAGAAATAAAAAGACAGAGAAAAACAAAAACAAAGCAAATAGTGCAAAAAAAAATCAACAAACACGGCCAGCAGGGAGGAGGGGTGTCTGTGGCTCCAATTGATCAATTGTAATTGAGGAGAACTCGAATCTTAGCAAGCAAAGCTTGCTCACGAGCAGCATTATCTCCCGGGGTAAGTAAGGCAAGAGCTTATTTTGAATCACTCTCCACTACCATATTCCTCCAACCAAGTTCCAATACATATTCGAGTGCCTTTATGAAGTGTTTGATAGAGGAGAAATTTTTTTTAGTCGCAAATCTCAATTTTTAAAAATAAGATTTTTATATTCAGTTTATGATAATATCTAAAAATTTAAAATTTAAAAAAATTCAATTTTTCGGGATTCTTGAAGAATCCTGCGTACCAAACGCTCTCTTAGAATAATCCAAAGTTATGCTTGTAGGGGATTACAAATGCCAATAAAGTGGGGAAAAAACCCTTACCATCACCATCACAATCTCTCACAAGACCACCACAACCAGCCAAATTAGCTCGCAGAGCTCCGTCCACATTCAGTTTCATCCAACCCAGAGGAGGCTTGCTCCACCCAAGTTGTAGAGCTCTGAAATCAGAAGGTAAATCAGGATTCGATCAAGGAAGGTAAGCTGTAGAAAATTCATTAACTAAACCCAGAATGTGGTTAATAGTTGGGTTCTGTCTTTGGAAGTTTAGGTCATTAATAGTATTATTTCTCTAAGTCCAGAGGCACCGGATTGTAATACAAAAATGATTTTTCCAAACAACACCAGAGGTCTTGTCCACGCACAGATTCTAAGAAAGCCAGATTGTAACACCCCGTTCTAGAACCGGTTTGTTAATATTGTTTTATGATATTAAGCGCAGTTACAATCACATTGGTTCAATTAAAAACTCGGATAAATTTTTCGTTTTCTTTGTAAAACTTACTTGCTTTTCCTTTTTAGCAACGCCGAGTTAAAATAACCAATTGTGTGACCATAACCTTATTACCTTGCGGAATAATCAAAACTAAATTTAACATCATATTATTATTTTGTTCAAGTTCAATACTAAACTCTCTTCGCTTTTTATTAAATTGGAATTTCTATACTTACTTTATAGTTCTCATCTCACACTGTTATAGATCTCTCAGTTAGCTTCACGTGGGTTCAAACCGCGCTCAAATCGGAGATCTGTAGCTCAAGTTATGACCATTTTAGTAAACTAGGTTGTTGTTGTTTCAGGATGCGCGCCCAAGCGCTAAAATGGGCGCTCGAGCACCCAACGGCGAAGAATTTTGTCATAGTCAGGTTTTTCAGCGCGCTTGGGCGTGAACCGGTGCGCTGGAGCGCCCAAATCCGCGCTTGAGCTCCCAAATCAGCGCTTCAGCGCCAAGAGGCAGGGAATTTCACTCATTTTCACATATATAGCACGCTTGAGCGCCCAACACCTGGGGCAGACTTGGTCTCCCCTGTTTTTGGTGAATTTCTTGGGGAAATTATGTTCCCTTTTCATTCTTCAAGGGTCATAACACCTAATAGACAATGAAAGGTCAACCATGGTCACACACCATGTGGCATCCACATTCCACAAACACTTTACCAATTTATCATGCAAATCAAAATGAAAAGAAAACATAACTACATATTCATCAATATGTTAAAGTCTCAATGACATATCCACATAACTCAATTACAACTCAAGTTTCACCATGATTTTCCACAAAATATATTCATCTTGATATAAGTGCATGCATAATCAAAATATTGGCTAGAGCCTTCATCAAATGATACAAGTATGCAAGCATGTCAAGATATTCAAAATGTATACGAAAGTATGCATCACTGCTCGGGCCTCCTGCCTTGAGGTTCGTTTCCTGCACTATCTATGGATCCTGAAAATAAATCCCACAAGGGGTGAAAGACAATCTCAGTAAACTAAAGGGCTTTGGAGACCCCTCCAACCCTGAGCTCACTTACATGTTATACACGCATCAAAATAGCATATAGCATACAACACATAGCGATTCTATTGGCCAGAGAACCATCTAGTCAAGCATAAGCGCAAGACCATCCAATCCAGTCAAGCATAAGCGCAAGACCAACCATAATCCAGTTAAGCATAAGCACAAGACCAACCACAATACAAAACATACATATACACCCAATTTTTTACACCAATGTACACACATGTTATACAAACCACAACTACCCACACAGGGTATGGTGGAACAACAAAGGGTAAAGTCCTCAAAATTCAAGAGTTTACCTTTTGTAGGCTTATCTTTTATCTTCCTCTTGGCACCATCCTCACAATATTACCAATTATAATTGTCCAACCTATAAGTCTTCAATTCCAAGAGTGAAACATTAACCCCCAATAGGTTTCTATGGTGATTTTCACATGCACTCAACTATAGAATCAATATTCCTACATCAAACAACAATGATTCAAGCATCAACACCATTATTAATTCATAAATCTTGAAATCCCCAATTTTGCTTCAAACCCTAACCACAAAATCATGAAATCCACTAAAAACTCAAGAAAACAACCTACAATGGTTTATGGCTTACCTCAAAGCTTCACTCAAGTTGATTTCTAACATTCCAAAAGCTCAAAATTCCCATCAATGGCTACCCTCCTCAAGACCCACGAAAATGGCACAAGAATGGTGGATCTCTTGCTCTCAAATCTTGGCTTCTTAGGGGTTAAAGAGGGGAAGAGTGGGGAAATGGGTTTATGAGAGGGAACCAAGTGCAATGGAAGCTTCTCCTTGACTCATATGGTGGAGTCTTGACAAACAAGAAAAAAATGAAATGAAAGGGGAGAGGGAGATGAGAAGCACGATGGGGAAGAAGAATGGAGAAGAGAGAGAAAACTTTTTATGATATAATTATATCTAATTGTGAACTTACTCTTTTACCCCTTGGTCCTTTCCCTTATTACATAGTCATCCCCTATCACTTCACAGTCTTAATTTATAATTGGGCTCCTATGTAAATTAACCTATCTATTATATATATTATTTCTATAATTAATGCAATTTCAATCATTAGGGGTATTATACTCACCCCAACTTTTTAAAATTTGACCTCAAAATTTAAAAAGCATACCTATCGAATAACTCGGGATATTGGTTCAGAAGTTCACTCTCTCATTCCCAAGTTGCTTATTCGGGTGCCCGTCCTTCCCACTGCACCTTAACTATGGGAATGGTCTTGCTCCTGATCTTTTTTTCGATTCGGTCTAAATTTCGTGCAGGTCGTGTAGGGCTTGTTAGATTTTCTCTGATCTCTATCGTATCATATGAAGTGGGTTTGGAACATACCTCCTCAATTGAGATACATGAAATACGTCATGTAGGCCGGACAATTGGGGAGGTAAGGCCAATTGATAGGCCACAGGTCCAATCTTCCGAATGATTTGATAAGGCCAATTGAACTCTCTCCAGTGTTTCAACAAATAGGTTTTTAGTAACCATCTCATGCTTCATCATGGTCCCTAAGCATCTACCAATATTAGATATTTTTTGAACCCACTAATAAGGGCAATATTATCAGCTACTTCCAAAGGGATATTCCTGGAGAAAAAAAATACTAGTTTTAGCTGCATTCACTTTCTGGTGACATAGATGCAAGTTTTTTTCAGAAAATCCTTCACAATAACATATTATCAGTGGTTGCCTCCGCAAACAACAGTAAGTCACCCGCAAAAAACAGGTGAGAAATTTTTGGTTCACCTTTTCCCACAGTCATTGGCTTCCATTCTTTGATCTGAATTGCATAAGCTATTATATGAGATAGCTTTTCCATACAGAGAATGAAACTGGTCATCTCCCAAGTATGAAACTGGCTACATGACAACAAGCTTCTCAACATTAAAAATCTTATCTCCCTGAATACTTTATCTCCAAGTATGTCTCACCACTTGCAAAGCTGGTCATCCCCTAAGCTGCTCATCTCTCCACTATAAATACTTATGTATCAATACTAAGGTACACATCTTCTTCTACATAATGAAACCTGCTAGAACCATAACTGACTTGAGCGTGTGTCTTGCAGGTACACCCCCCATCTCGTTCTGTTGAAGACCCATGGGTTAAAGCTGCTCAACTGCAAGATGATCTGACCCAAGGCGGTTCCAGGCCATTTGTGTAGAGGAAGATCACATGATCGACCCAGTTGTAAAAATCTGTTTTGATCATTGGCGCCGTCTGTGGGAAGATATGAATATGGACCGAGATGCTATATACATATACATAAACTTTCGAAGATTGAAGAAGAAGAATGGATTAATAATATCTCATAAAAATCCATGATTGAGGGCTTGCTTTGGTCACAAGAGCATCAAAGATTTTATGTAGACCCTTAGGGAGCTTGATAAGAATGATGAAGCAAAGGAGAAATTTGCAAAGTATATATATGATAATATTGAGAATCATATTCAGGTCCGCTCCTATAGGTGAATTTGCGCAATGTAATTTATGCTTGAGGAGTAGATTAAATTTGTTAGATGTGACGATCCCATCTCGCTCCAACATAATCCCATCTCACTCCAACATAATCTTAAAAAAGTAATGTTATGACTCTGTTTTCAAATTTTGTCAAATTTTACTCCCAAAAGGTTGCAGGAACTCAAGACTGATAACAGGCAAAGACAACAATCTCGCATAAAACACAGATAAACTCAAAAAGTTATATGTGGTATCAGCAAAGTTATTCTGAACTAATTTCACCTGATCTTGATTACAATTATCATCTTAATGATATGATGTTGTTATTCTGTGAGATATGTGGAAATTACAGGTTTCATCAAATAAGAGAGATACGAGCCTTGTCTACGTTATGCTGACAAACGCCTAAAGCTCTTAAGCTTAGGTTTGAAGACGCTTGAGGGTAAAGCCTGACAAAGGTTGAAAACTCAAGTCTTAACTTGAGGGTAAAGCCTCAGGGTTAAATACTCAAGCGCGATTAAGAAAGAAAGGAAGATGATAAAACTTCCTCCAACAAGGAAGATAATGAAACTTCCTCCAATAAATAAGATAATAAAACTTCCTCCAATTAAAAAGATCCTCCAAAAGGACCCTCTAAATAAAAGGATCCTCCAAAATGGCCCTCCAAACCAAAGGATCCTCCAAAAGAACCCTCCAAATGAAAGGATCCTCCAAAAGGACCCTCCAAATGAAAGGATCCTCCAAATGAAAGAAAGGTAATGAAACTTCCTCCAAGCTATAACGCGATGAAGAAAAAAGGAAGGTAAAACCCTAACTGGTTAAAACTTCCTCCAACGCGCAATCAAGAACAAATGAAGGTAAAACCTTAACTGGTTAAAACTCCCTCCAAAGCGCGATACTTCTGGTAACATCAAGTACAGACTAAGCGACATCAAACCACAGAGCATGCAAAATAGAAAGGTACGCGAAATATATGAATTGTGAATTATGAACTGTATAAAAATGCAGAATACAGTTATGAAGCTCTCAAGCACCCATACAAAGTACAAACCATAGTTCCAGATAAAGGAACGAGCACAATGAATTTTCCAGGTTGATAAACAGATATGTCATCTTGCAAATTCATACATCTCATTACTCATGCTCTCAGCATAAGCAACGAGCTAGGGGCCTTTTGATCTGGATATATATATATATATATATATATATATATATATATATATTAAACACAAGGCCCAAATTGAAAGCCTTCACAATGAAGCAAAACTTTAGTCCACAAAGGCTGTAAATCCCATCTCATCAAGCTGCACAATATTAAAAGCTTATGACAGCATAGACTCCTCAATAACAGCAAGTTCCTCAACCTTAAGTCTACATGAGAGCAAGCTTCTCAACATTAAAAACATTATCTCCCAGAATACTTCATCTCCAAGTATGTCTCACCACTTGCAAAGCTGGTCATCCCCCAAGCTGTTCATCTCTTCACTATAAATACTTATGTATCAACACTAAGGTACACATCTTCTTCTACATAATGAAACCTGCTTGAACCATAAGTGACTTGAGCGTCAGAGTGTCTTGCAGGTACACCCCTCATCTTATTCCATTGAAGACTCATAGGTTAAAGCTGCTCAGCTGCAAGGTGCTTTGACCCAAGGCGGTTCCAGGCCATTTGTGTAGAGGAAGATCACATTATCGGCCCAGTTGTAAAAACCTGTTCTGATCAGTATATATCTTATTAGCTTCTTCAGTTATATATTATTCTTCACACTAAGTTTTTTTTTTTAATTAATGATAAGGGAAAAGTTCAAAATCCTCTCTATGATTTAATATTTTATCATTTATTTCTTGTATATTTTTTCACTGTTCGCATGAGGCAAGAATGCAAAATAGACAAATTAGCCTCATAAACAACGATGCTACGGGTCAACTTGGATAAAAAAATTCTTTTAATCTTATGTTGCATGAGATAATTATCTCATACAACAGAGACAAGATAGTGAGATCCCCCATTTGTAATAAAATAAAAAATAAGAATATAGACCCTACTACTTTGTCTCTGTTGCATGAGATAATTATCTCATGCAAAATGAAATAATTATTTCCCATAAAAAATACAAGAAAGATAAATGATAAAATAATTTTTAAAAAATTAAATGATTTTGAAGCAAATTATGTAGGAATTTATGAACTTTTCCCTTAAATAAATGATAGATACATTCTATCTTGATATCACTTTTAAAAAAATATTGTCCGTTTGTTTTATGTCAAAATTGTGCAAGTTTGTTTCATTGAGTTTAAATTTGATGTATTATTAATGCAATTTTTTTTTAATAGTATGAATACATCATTAAGCCATAAATAATAGTAAAATTGTACAATAATCTTAAAAAATAATATTAAATAACAGTGTAAAAATTATACCAAAAAAATAACAGTGTAAAAATATTTCAAAATTATATTTAAAATTAATATTTGCAATAAAATTTATTTAATAATTTAAAAATAAAAAATATATTTTTCATACTATATGAGATAAATTATCTCATACAACAAAAACAATAAATAAATAAAACCTGCTAAGAAAAAAAAAGAGTTTCATTCAAATTTTCCTTTATCTTTTTGAGGAAGGTTATATTTATAAATTTTTTGTTTACAAACTATACTAACTATGACCGGTCATACTTCAATTAAGAATGTATAATTAATCATACTTAATGTAATTTGTAAAAAATATTTGTAAACAAATCCTACTCCTATTTTTTTTATTATAGACAGTATATTATTTTATAATATATTATATGTCTTATGAGAAGTAATGACAAGCGTGGGACTGAGCAACTGCTCTAAAACGCAAAACCACTTTATCAAACGCCACGCGCTCCATCTTTGGCTCTGTGGTCCACTTTATGCGATCAACAGCTCGCATTCTCCTAAACGCCCCTCCGCTCGTGATTCCTAGGTTAAGACATGAGGGTGCAAAAGTCATTTTGCGATGCTTCAGAATAAAGATTAAAGAAACTGGAACACTTAATTTTGAAGAAACTGCACCATGACTTTCCAAAATAGCCCTCTTTCAATCACCCCCTCTACTTTTTGCTTCTCTAACATGTGCTCAAGTATAGAGCAGGCTCTCGTCCCTGCCCTTAGATCAAACCATTTTCCAAGGTCAACGTTTCAAATCCCATCAAGTAATCGCATCAAACGGTAGGAGAGACGGTTGCCACATGAGCATGAACGGTGAACCACACTTCGTGATTTCTCCAACAATTATCCAATCTTTTCAGTTTCGGACATAGTTTTTTTGTTTTTTCAATATTCACTCTTCCAGCTAGCACAGTTCACAGAGCAACAAACAAAGCAACCACTAAATTTATGCAGCTTTAGATCAATCTCTCTCTTGTGTGTCTCTTCCATGGTACACAACCTTCTCAAGTGTTCTCTCTCTGCTCTTGTCCACTTCAGTGTATATATCTCTATTCTTATTCTGAAAAATAAACAAAAAAAAATAAAAAATGATTATTTTAATTTTGTAATCTCATGGTTCTGGTTCACAGGAATGGTAGATTTGAGGTAAAGAGGTTCCACATTGGTCAGGTAATTCTCAGATCTAGCCTCACACTAGCTGGTTAGCTCTAATTTCAGACACTGATTCATTTATGAAGCAGTGTTCCTCTGTCTGCTACTTTTGCTTGTAGTAGATCTTGTGGATTCTAGGGTTTCTTTGTCGGTGATCATGTGCTTCATTTTTAACCAAGTGTTTTGGCTGTCTGTTACATTACAGTACACCCTCAAGTGTTACTGCATTCCTCGTAAAAGATTTTAATGGCCTTGTTTTGTGCTTCTGTCTTTTTGATTGATCACTGTTGAGCGGTAATTTGTTTTTGCAAAATCCCAGCAAGTTTCTCAAGGAACTCGAGAGATCACACGTATTTTGCCTTGTGGTTTGTTTCATCAGTTCGTTTCCGTACGCTTTTATTGTCGGTGAAGGATAGCAACTTTTTTTTTTTTTTTTGGGTGAAGGTCTTACTTACGAAGGAGGTTACAAAAAAGTCAAATGAGTGACGGTCCATCTAATTAAAAAGTATGTATTATACCATTTTTTTTTTTTTGGTTCTGTATTATTGCATAAAAGAAAAGATGCTATTAATTGTGCATGATGTCTATTTACTGTTTGTAGTTGATGAGTCATTATTCCTATAAAAATTGGCTGATGGGATCGGGGTGAATGTCACCCTACGTTGTTGATTTTTAGTAGGAAAATAATAATTTTTTATTGTTAATTACTTATTCCTTGAAGTTTTTTTTTTTTAAATTTTTTTATGAGAAGGAAAACTATTTATTTTCTGAGAGTGACTATATCCTTATGGAAATTTTGCTGAAAAGGAAAAAATTTATTAGTTTAGAAGTTATTTTCTTTGCATAATTAATTAATGAGATGCCATTTTCGGATGCACTTTGTTAAATGGAAACAACTCAAATTTATATATCCTATAACATATTATTTTTGTTTGAAGTTCTATATTATCTTTGAAATGTTTCGTAAGGTATTGTTAAAATATTATAAATTTAATGAGATATGCTTTCTAGCATTCCTAAAATCAGGTACTAACTGAATTTGGTGATCTTGTGAAGTAGGAATCTTTCATGATTTAGGATTAAGTGTATTCTATTTTGTTTGTGTGATTTAATTACTTGCCTGATTACCAATAATCAATGGATCAATTTAGAGATTAGGTTCACTTTTTTCTGTTGCAGGTCCTGCTCTCACAATGGGGAAGTCACCAGGAAAATGGATCAAAACTGTACTGTTTGGGAAAAAGTCATCCAAATCAAATATTTCGAAAGCAAGAGAGGTAATACTATGATAGTTAAGGCAACATAACATCACTACTCTGTTCAATGTTAGGCTATATTCATATTACATGAATGCATTCATAAAATACTCTTTCGAATGACATCAATGGTTACATGACATAAATAGTCAACTCTAGATTTACCCTTCTAAATTTTAACCTAAAAATGGCATCATCAGAACTGTTAATGAAATGTCAAGGATAGGAAAAAGAGATTACAGATTCTGTTCTTCAATGCATTCTGCTTTGGTGCTGTTGTCAAGGGTCTTAACTTTTGTTTCATACTTTGTTTGCATTGCACTAACCTTGTTAAGCAGCACTCCAAACCACCTATGATTATACATAGGAATTGTTGCTAGGGATTATAAGTGCTGTTATATTACTGAAAGTATCACTGTGAAACCTATTTTTCTCTAAAAAAATGAAAGTTTTTTGATATGAGCTTTCCCTTGTAGTGAAACTTCTGACTTGTTTTACTATAATTTTTATAGAAGCTTGTTAATCAAAAAGAAGGATTAGTTACTTCCAAGGTGTCAGAAACTGGTTTGGCTTTAGAGCCAACCTCCAACACTATTACCAGACATGAGGAAGACCTAGAGCTGGAGAATAAAGAAGCAGAAAATGTTTTAGCTGGAAATCAACAAACAGACACAGTGGGATCTGTTCATCAAGATGCACCGCTTGATCTGGAGAAAATGAAGCAGGAGGAAGCAGCAACAAAGGCACAGGCTGCTTTCAGGGGTTATTTGGTATGTGACTTACTGTTTTATAGACTAGCTTTACTAATTAGATTGCAAGACATAGGATATTTAGATGTATGCTGCAAAAGGATAGTAAGTATGTGGAATTGATTTTCTGTTTTGATTATAAATCAAATTATGATAAGATCAGACTTGAAGGCTTTGGTGGATTAAGAAATGAAGAAGTTTAGAAGATCTAAATTTATTTGAACACAAACTTGATTCCTTGAAGCTTAGTGCGGAATTTAGTTAGTGTTAGAATCCATAAACTTCTATATATTGTCTTCCTCCCCTCCCCTTGCCCCCCTCCCCATTTTTTTTTAAATGCATCTTTTATGAAATCAAAGGAGACTCTGACATGTTTATTTGTCACGAGGAGTTGTCAAGTAAATGAAGCAACTGCCTTCATGTTCTCTAAAATAAGAAAGATAATTATTTCTTTCATGTTGAAGTTAATTCTCAAACATATATATTTTTTTATGGAGATCAACTCTGCCAGCTCCCACTGTTATGACATTTTTGGTAGAAAACCATATTTGATCAATAAATTTGTTGCTATCCTAAGGTTTTCACTGCTTCTGTCTCTGATAAATTGATAATTCATAAATATGTCTATGAAAGAGTTGGCATATGGACAATTTTTTAACTTCTTTGAACTATCTTTGTGGAGTTTTGAATGTTTTGAGTTCTTGTAAATTTGAATATTTTGTGTTATGCCTCAACTAATGGAAGTATCTTTCATGAAGGCTCGGAGGGCATTTTGGGCTCTAAAAGGCATAATAAGGTTGCAAGCACTTATTCGTGGGCACTTGGTTAGGAGACAAGCTACTGCTACATTATGCTGTATGTATGGAATTGTCAAGTTACAAGCACTTGTTCGCGGAGGAAGAGTTCGACAGTCTGATGTTGGATTTCAAATCCATGAAAAGTGCAATCTAATGAAGCCTCTGGTAATTTTTTCAAGAATTGAATTCTCTCAAATTATCAGTAATTGGTCATATTATTTATATTATTCTTGGTTTTGTTCTGATTAATCCTCCCTGGGGTGAAAATATGCAATTGAGTTTATACTTTACCTGATTATTTTGGTCAAAATATAACTAAATGGTTATATTAAATATGGGAATTCTAGCTGAGCTGGTAGCACATTCAAAATGAGGACTCACTGTGCAAATAAATGGGTTTATTTTGAACATTTTACTACTACAAAAATTAAGGTGGTCTCTTGTCATCCTACACTTTTTCATCTAAATCCAAAGAAGCTGGTGCATCATTCAAGCTGTTTGGGATTGTCTTCAACAATGTTTTTTTTTGGACCACTTATTTTATAAGATGAAATATTGGTATGAGAAGACAATCTCTATTTGTCAAACAATTTGAAAAATTACTAACGAGTTTCTTATGGTTGTTGGATCGTTGACCAATTAGGTATTGTTATAATTAGATATCTTAAGTTTATAAGTGTATCACAAATCACTGAAGAGAGAGGGAGGGATAGATTGTATGTATAGTATTTTTTAAACTACTGCTCCTGTTAATTCTTTTCCTTCTCAATGTATTGTGCCTCAGGATGGCAAACTTGTCAAGCCAATTACTATATCCTCAAGAATTACGAAGTTGTCAGCAAATTCTTTCATCCGTAAGGTAACTTTCATTACACCATGTACGTGATAAGTTTATTTTTCATGTGTGGCTGCTTATCTGGATAAGTTTCATTCTAGAATGAACATCTCTATAGTTTTTGTAAGAAGATAGATTTTGAATCCCCGTAGTTGAGAAAACAGCACTGAGAGAGAGAGAGACAGAGTACAGCACCCCTGCCAATTTCTCTCAATGGAGAAAAAATTCCAAGAAAATTTTAAATTTTTTCTATACTAAGACAATCAGTTTCATCAGGTAACAGTATCTTTTATTTATTTAAATCTTCACCAGCAATCAATCATAAAATGATTGCATAATACCTGTAAGAGGAACGGGAATTTCTGCCTAAATGGAGCTCATAGTTTGAAGTTAAAAGTTTGTGAAGCCTGGTGGTTGTTAGGTATGCCAACTTAAAAAAAAATGCTACAGTATTATTTCAAAGATCGCTTATTTTATCTCTTTATAGATTGGAAATGCAAACATCAAGACCTCAGGTTTACTTAAATATTCTTAACTTGCAACATTTTGAGAAAGCCCAAATTAATTAAGTTAAATCAGATGACACGATTATAAAATTATTTAGTTATTGTTACTAAAGAGTGCGTGTTCTCAATTATAATTTCATGGGCAGCTGTTTGTTATCTGCTAATGTTGTTATTAAAGCTAGGATATAGGTGTCTAAATGCTGCAGGAATTTATATCAGATATTATGATTACACGTTTTAAAATGACGAGAATATGTTTGAATTTGTTCCAAGTGGGTTTATGTGCAATATTGGTTGTGTCTTACCATGTTTTAGTTTTTGGTTAAATCTGAAAATAAAGTGGTTTTTCACTTGGAAAAGGCTTCTTTAAAGTGAGCTTGTCTCTAAGTGAGAAAGTAAGAGTGTATCCACCTTGATTTAATTTAAACTGCATGGTGATCTTAACTCACTAAAATTCAAGGGGTGACCTTTACTTGCTCGCTTTAGAGGAGCACGTACTTCTATTACAATTTGTCTTTTGATCTATCAGTTAAATTGGACATGTGAAAACGTTGATTTGTTATTTCAGCTTCTTGCTTCGTCAACTACAATAATGGCCCTGCGTTTGCATTATGTTCCTGGTGATCCAAATTCAGTCCTAAGTTGGCTGGAGCGCTGGTCAGCATCTCACTTTTGGAAACCGGTTCCCCAACCCAAGAAAATTCGGGAAACCAAGTCTCAGAGAAAGCAGGGTAATGTTTCAATTGGAGATGCTCAAGTGAGCAAGTCAAAACGGACCAACCGGAAGCTTCCTACTGCAAATTTTGATACTGTCCCAGCACAACTGAATCCTGAATTTGAGAAACCAAAACGAAATGTAAGGAAAATACCAAGCCAACCGTCAGATCCTGTGCTGGAAAATCCACAAAATGAGCTTGAAAAGGTTAAACGTAACTTGAGAAAGGTTCATAACCCAGTTGTTGAGAATACTGTTCTGCCTGAAGTTGAATCTGAGACCCCAAAGCAGCATTTGGAAAAGGCAACAGTTACCTCAGGTCTTGGTGTTTCAGAACAAGTGGTCATTAGTTCTGACGAGAAGATCAAGAAGGAAGCAACATCAAACATTTCCAGTGTGCCGGATGTGGAAATTACTCCTACACGTTCAGTTAGCAAGGAATTGTCAGACACTCCAAGCAGTCATCAAGTGACTGTGGAATCAAAACCCTTGACTGAGATTACAAGTAAAGATACAAACATTTCTGATGATGAAGTAAAAAATGAGCCCAAAGATTTACCAGAGATTATTTATAAAGATGAAAATTCTCACTTAACAAATGGAGATTTGAGTCCCAAGGAAGATCCAACAGGCAGTGAAAACCAGAAACCAACCCGAAAAGCCTCAATTGTATCAAAGCAGGAACGTGCAGAGAATGGTTTACAGAATAGTCCAATTATACCGAGTTATATGGCAGCAACTGAATCTGCAAAGGCAAAGTTGAGGGCGCAAGGATCCCCAAGATTTGGACAAGAGGGCAGTGAGAGAAACAACCTTGGTCGGCGACATTCTCTGCCATCTTCAACAAACAGCAAAATTAGTTCGCATTCACCTAGGACACAGAGACCAGTTCAATCAGGTGGCAAAGGGGGCAACAGAAGTGACAGAACTGTATCATCTTCTAGAGATGGGAATGGTATGTTATAGCTCTTAGTGATTTGAAGATTTTACCAAAAAAATATAGGGGTTTAAAATATCACATCACATGATGATTTCACGTAGTAAATATTACTGAATTAACTGAATTGTCAGTTTAGAGTTACTTCTCCTTTCTGTAGTGGGACAAATGTTAGCCTAATCATGCTAAACAAAAATATATTTGAGAAACTTTCTGGTTCTCAGTAGTCTTGATCGTAGAAATAATTCCTTTTATTTACGGTTAAACATCTAGGTAGAGTTGAACTTTTGAATTCCAATTTGGATAAGTTATATTCTGATGGATGTCTTTTTGTTTATAATGATTAATAATTATCAACTAGTCTGTTCATCTTGCAGGAAAGGTAATTCAAGCAGAGTGGAGGAGGTGATTTGAGGTTTTCAAGAGTTGAACATGAGGAGGTTGAAACTCGTCAGGGTATATGTATCTTTGATGAAAATTGTTAAATTGATATAGGTGTGCTTGATCAGTCTTTCTTTTTTTTTTTGCTGCGTTTTGGGCGTTTGATGGTGATTTGTACATTATAGGTTTTTAGTTTTGCATGATGCTACTGTACCCAAATTTATGTTTTGTTTGTTTTCGACATGAAATCTGGGCTGTCCATATTATGTTTGTTTTTTTATCATTAACAAGTACTTCCGCATGTTTGACAAAGAACTTTTATGTTTGGACCTGAAGTATGGTCTGGTGACATGGATATGCTCATGCGAGATTTCTTCACGAATATGTGTGTGTGTAAAAGCCCTTTGTCAAGGATGGAGCACTCTTTGCTAGCCTGGATGAAATAGTGGATTGGTGTTTTGAGTTTGGAAAGCGAAATAGTTGGACTAACCTAACGTGGCATTGAGGAATGACCATTTTGCTGGACACATTTCATAGGACTAGGAGTCTAGGACAATTGGAATGGCGGTTTCATTTTGAGTTTCGATTTCAAAGCCGAGATTTCTCAAAGAGTAACATTTTTTAGAATAATATTCAAAATAATGATTTCGTGGAAACCGGAAAAAGAGAAGAGATGAATGTGATGTGACAGTATATGATTTCGTCCCTTCTCAATTAAAAAAGTTAGAATGGGGATTGACACTCTCTCTTCAATACTAGAAATCACTGTTAAAAATATTCTGCCAAGGAGAATTGCATTTTGTGCTTTACAGTGAGTTCTTCAAGCATGGTTACTTAAATTATAAGTCTGGTTTCATTTATATTTTGAAAATAAAAGTCTTGATCTAATTTTGTTAGTTTGTTTAAGTCTAATAGACATTAATAATTAAAATATTATTATTTATTATTTAAAATCATTAAAATAATAATTTTATTTATTTTATTTAAAATAAATAATATGATATAAGTCCAAAGTCTATGATTTGTTTTCAAAATAGCTTTTTGTAAAAGTTGGAGTCTGTTTTATTTGCCTATATGTAACTGAGCATGTTTTATTTGTGTATATGTAAGAGGCCGAGTCTAGTTTAATGTAAGTTGGGTTGTAAGCCCTGTTAGACCGCCTGAATCATTTATATCTCTATAGCTTCCAATTAAAAAAAAGTGTAATATGTAATAATATAAATTTAGGCAATAATATATTTTATTCGTGGTAATAAATATTTTAATATTAATTTATTATTTGCAATTCATTATCTTTTTGTGTGATTTATGAATTTCTTCTTTCATTGCTGGTTTGAAAATATATTACATTTAATTGTATTTCAATGGTTTCCCTAGATTGTATGTACGATTGATGGGAACATTAATATGTCTTTCTAGGAAATTTCTCGCCTCGTCAAAAAATTAGAAGACTCTGATGTTTTCTGGTGGAAAATTAATGTCATTTGATTCCCGATGGGAACTTTTTTTTTTGGTATCCTGATGGGAACTCATTTTAGTTTCCATATAAGTTACACAAAACGTGAAAGATTTTCTATTTCTTGGAATATATTTTTAGAAAAATATTTCTGTAGTTACTGCAGATAAGTTATCTGCATTTACTCCAAAACAACATCATTTTGAGATCGAAAAATTAAAAAATTATAATTATAAAAACTATAATAACTCTGAAATAAATTAAAATTACAAAAATACTATAATTTTCTCTCCAAAACGACGTCGTATTGGACTTACTGCAGATAACTAATTTGCTTGGGCGAACCATATATTTTAGATGAACTAATTTCAGATCACTATACTGATTTTAACTTATTACTCTTAACTTTAGAATATTTAAAATGTTAAAATGTTAACGAAAAACTTAAATATGAAATCAAAATCAAGTCAAATTCACTTAAATTTAACTATTTGAGTGATTAAAATAAGAGAAAATATTTTCTCATGTCGTAGCCTGTAAGAGAGTTGTTTTCTCCTACTAGTGATCCTTTGATTTTCGTGCAATATTTTCTTTTACTTTATTATTTTTTAATAGATGTGAGCCCCATATAAAATGTGTTTACAACATGAGAAAATTTTCTCCTACGTTAAAGAAAATCGAAACCCTTGAAATAAACAAAAAATCTTAAAATCTATTTAAATTTTATTTTAGAAGTTTTCAAACAAAGTAATTTATTTATAATTAGGGCCCGTTTAGATGAGCTTTTAAAAAAATAACTTTTTATGCATTGCTTTTTTTAAAATAACTTTTTTTAAAAGGTAAAGTTATTTTACGTTTGGAAGTGTGATTTGAAAATCACTTTTACATAAAAAAAATTGTTTGGATGTTAAAATAAAAAAGCACTTTTTATATATAAAATTACAATAAAGGAGAGATAATATAGTATGATCGTGGGATAAGTAGAGATAAAATAGGTATGATATGATAATGTTAAAATTGTATTTTAAAAATTTATATTATCTTTTTTCCAAAAAAAAATTATATTATTTTTAAATTTCTGCTTTTTTCAAAAGCAACCAACTACTGACTATAAAAAAAAATAGCATTTTAACTTTTATTTTAAATTATACTTTTTTAAAAAGTTGTTATTCAAATATTTAAAAATTCTTAAAAAAACTTTTATTTAAAAAAAAACAGATTTTTTAAGAATAAAAGCCCGTCCAAACAGGCAGTTAAACCAATTCTCAAATCTTGTGATTTTAAGACTTAAAACCTACCACACTGCAAAACAAAGCTCTATTTTTTATTTTTTTTAAAATATGGAATATTATTAGTAATTTCTTAGTGTAGAAGCATTGTGCAATGCATAAGGTCGGATTGATAACTAATGCTTACTCTTTATACGCGTTTAGTAAAGTAAGAGATATATCCACGTGGGTGAAGGCAATATCGTCATTTACTGACAAAGCATATTATTTGGTGGTGAGGGATCAATCAATCATATATAACGGTAGGATTGGAATGTTCTTTGAGTTGGCTCTGAGAAAACAAAGAGACGAAGATAACAAGGTTGCAATCACAGACACAGACACAGACACAGACACAGACAACCACACTAATTTTTTTTTAATAAAAATAATACTTGGCGGTGAGTGTCACTCTAAAGCAACAACAAAAACATGATAAATCCTGCTCCTGCGAGCTTCTGGACTCAGGCAAACGCGCTTCTTAGGAAGAATCTAACCTTCCAGGTTCCATTATTATTTGCTATTTAATTATTGGATTGTGCCATGTCATATCATACATTAACATGTTTTTTTGTTTGTTTTGGTTTTAAAAAGAAACGGAACGTGAAGACAAACGTTCGGTTAATACTGTTCCCGTTGATCCTGTGCGTTTTGCTGGTTGTCCTGCAAGGTTTAATCGACGCTGAATTGGATAAGCCTGCGAACAAATGTGGTTGCGTTTGTGCCAACAACAAAACAAAAGGCGCTCAGTGCCACGACTCAGAGAAGCTTTGTGGGGTCCAGTATTCGGATTCGGGTCAAGCTGCACTCTGTGCTATTCCCAACCCACCCGAATGGCCTCCTCTGTTGCAACTTCCGGCTCCTCCGAACCGAGCCGTACGAACCCCTCTTCTTCCCTTTTCAGATTTGCCAGATGCGTCATGCAGGAGAACCGGGTCGTGTCCTCTAACTACGCTCTTCACCGCCAATAATCACTCTTTTGGAGAAAGTATAACATAACAACATGTTTTTCTGTTTCATTTTATCAATTTTGTTTACTTTGCTTCACCTTGTTCTTTTATGGCACGTTTACTTGTTTTTTCTTTTCTTTTCTTTTCACAGTTGTGTCTGGAAATATGTTCCCAAGTGAATTCAGTATAAATGACTCTGATATCATGGCTAGTTTGGCCACAAATGTTCTGGTGAGTTACTTTTTACACTTTGCTGACATGTTCTCTCACTCGTTTATTAATTTTTATTTTTGTTGTTGATGGAACTATGAAAAATGATGTAGGGATCTGAATCAACGCCCGAGAGCAGCAATTTTATTGGATCTGCTTTCTCTTCGGGTCTTCCAATTTATTACCTACAAACTGAGTGCACGCTGAACTCTGGATTCTCCTTTCCTTTCCAGATAGCTGGCGATACCATGGAGCAAGGTATGGAACATCCTTGTATTGGCAATGTAGCTTATGAAATGTGATAACAAGAAATTGGATCAATTGGCATGGCCGTGCACACATATAGTTGTTTTATTATGGAAATTGACAATCCTTTGTGTCATTCTTGATGTTCCCGCTTACTGCTTAGACACAGGATATTCTGGATGTGGTCACATGAGCATATGTAAGACCTTATGGCTGTGCAAACTTAGTGTATGCTTGACTGGTTGCAAATGATGTAGTCTGCCAGTTAGAATATTTAGGTGGAGGCTCATTGCGCCTTTTTCAAAACTTTTGATTGACTTGAATTTAAATGTCTCATTCATGTTTTAAAAAGCTTGGGGAGGCATCAAATGGGAGAATAAAAAAAATTGAAGGTGTAACATTTGTCACAAAACCACAAGTGCAACCTATGTGATGGATTTGAAACATTTGCACAATGATAGAAATCTTGTGGTCGGTTGTGACCAATAAGTGCTCTTACAAATTATTTGCATATATTTGGGTGGAGTACACAAGTGTTTTTATATAAAATCTCGTTTCTTAGATATGACTAAGACATGCATCTGATGTATAGAATTTTTGTTACTAATTGAATATATTTCCCTTGGATCTAGAGGTCAGTTGTGCTCAGGGTTTACATTTATGGCGTAATAGTTCTTCTGAGATCAACAATGAGGTATATAAAGGTTACCAAAGAGGTAACACAGAAGGACAGGTCAATGAAATAGTTTCAGGTACTTATTATCATTATGTTTTAATTTACATGAATATTTGGAAGACAATACTTATTTTTATATTATTTTGGCAGCTTTTGATTTTCTAAATTCAAATGAGAATAGATTTAATGTCAGCATATGGTACAACTCAACCTACAACATGGGTGACACTGGATTTCGTTCTATTGCATTGTTGCGGATTCCTCGTTCTGTAAATCTGGTATATTCAAAATTTGTTTTAATTATTGTGCCATCCTTGCTGTTATCATTATAATGGATATAACATAATGAAACTGAAAACTCAATCTCAGCTTATAAAATAAGAAATTCCTATTGCTATGTAAAACTTGTTTTAATTGTTGCATCCTCCTTACTGTTATCCTAATAATGGATATAACATAATGAAACAGAAAACTCAATCTCAGCTTATAAAATATGAACATGTTACTTGCTATCCTGTGCCATGAATCTATTAAATTTTTTATTTTATTATAATATTAACTTTAACGTCAAAACACATACTTGCATCATTAGTGGTGAACATACTTTCTGGAGAAAAACTTACTTGGCCCTTACCATTATTTGAATGGAAGAAGTGAGTGGAACTATGTTCATGCTGCACATGCATCATTCAATTGCTGTATTACAAATTTCAAAACTACTTGCGTAAGTAGATTTTACTAAGCTAATGTAATGATAGTAATTCCCCTTTATATACATTTCCCGCTTTTCGTTTATTTATGTTTGGGTCTTTATTTATCTGCACCTGGCAGATTATAATAGGGACTGACATCTAGTATCCATATGCATGCAGATATCAAATGCCTACCTGCAGTTTCGGCTTGGACCCGGTACCAAAATGTTGTTTGAGTTTGTAAAGGAAATGCCAAAATCTGAGACCCCAATTAGGATTGAGATAGCTTCTCTTCTGGGCGGTCTGTTCTTTACATGGGTCATCCTGCAACTTTTTCCTGTAAGTGCAGAAATATCTGAATAAATATATCAGCTATGAATTAAGTTGCGTGTAACGAGAAGTTAGCAGATAGATATGAGAGGACAGAACAACATTGTATTGCAGAGTGGGTTGCTATTGGCTACTTTTGATTTTTGAAATAGGCATCACATTCTTACTTATCCCTGTATCATCTATATGTGTGTGTAACCATCTAAACATACATGATTCAGAGTCAAGGTCAACAATTATATCTCACATCTTATGTAAACACAACAGAATAGATTTTCTATTATATTTATCTGTTCAACATAAGCTCTATATGCTTTTTATGTAGGTTGTTCTGACATCACTGGTATATGAGAAGCAACAAAAATTAAGAATCATGATGAAAATGCATGGTCTTGGTGATGGGCCATATTGGATGATTTCGTATGGTTATTTTCTTGCCATATCCATTATCTACATGTTGTGTTTTGTGATATTTGGCTCTCTTTTAGGTAAACATACCCATTGAACTGTTTCCTCTTCTTGGCTTTTTCCCGTTCTCTTTAATACTGATGACTTTATTTTCAGGACTAAAATTCTTTACATTGAATGACTACAGCATCCAATTTGTGTTTTATTTCATCTATATAAACTTGCAAATTTCGCTGGCATTTCTGGTGGCTTCCATGTTTACAAATGTTAAGACTGCTACAGGTTTGATGATAGCTACTTCACGTTGTTCATAATAATGACTATATTAATATTTTATTTTCTCAAATCTGATCACTGACTTGTGTTTTTTATAATTGCAGTAACTGCATATATAGGTGTCTTTGGAACAGGGCTATTAGCCGGCTTCCTTTTTCAATTTCTTGTTCAAAATACATCATTTCCAAGTAAGTAAAATGACTGAGGAATGAAATCCATTATGGGCCGTTCATATGGTTTCCATATATAATTCCATGTGCTTGCATTAAAGGAACTATCTTTGAACGGATCCTTAGGGTAATGTTGCGCTCACGACAAGTATACCAATCGTACAAGTAATAAAATGATGAGTAGAGTATCGTTCCCACGAGGATTAGTGTTTCAAGCACTAGTTCATTATTTTTACTTAAGTTGGACAAATCAAAGTTGGTTTGGGAAGAATAATTTCTAATTAATGGAAAGCCAATTTAAAGAAATCAATTAAAAGAACAAACGACAAGCAAAAATTGAATGCAAGAAAAGGATTCAAACAATTAAAAGATGAGTTGGGAATCGAGAATGGAAAACGCATTTAGGGTTTACTTCACCTCCAATCCCCTTTAAGTGATTTAACTCAATTCAATGAAGCTCTAACTCTATTGTTCCAAACAATTCATAATCTAAGTGATAATTGGTTAAATCCCTAATATCTTAGTTATTTAACCCTTTAACCTAATTAGAATCCTAATGTCTTAGAAACCCCTTTTAGGTTAAGCCTTATGCGCGATGAATTTCACAAGTTTCCAAATCCTGCAAGTCTATGTCTAGAACATGCAAGAATTGGTGTTTACCTTTGTCTAGATTAAGATCCCAATATCTCTATTAAGAACCCTAACCCTCTTTATTCCTTTAGCGCCATACTTGAGTGTGAAAGCTTGTGAAGTTGGTGCCTAAAGCGCCACTATGGTGCTCATAGCGCGAGAAAGCCGAGAGTTTGAAGTCATGGCGCTTGAGGCGTGGGAATGGCGCTCCTAGTGCCAACTCTAGTTACTTTTTTTGCCTCTTGAGCTCCCCAACTTAATCTTTCTCAATGAGCTGAAATCCCTACAAAAGCACAAGAATTGTTATGAAAATACTCTTGAGAGTGAAATAACACTTTAATTACAATTCTTATATCTTTGATTATATCAATTACATGTTCAATTTGACCCTTAATACATAGCAAGTTAAAAGCTCATCAGGTATAATGGCAAAATTATCTGCATGACTGGCTAACATAGCCGATGATGTTAATAATAATAACAATATCCATCAAAGTAACTCTTTCTGTTCTCATTAATAAATTTTATTAGTTTCTTTAACAGGGAAAAGAGGGGAAAAAATGCTGAATCTTACACATAAACATTCTGTCAAAATAACTGTGTATTTCATTGATAGTTTACAAGGTAAAGAAGGTGTTTAAATACACCAATAACAGAAACAGGATCAGATCAATATCCTATACAAAACAACTAAATAAAGAACAAACTCCCTAATTTTCTCAACAGTAAAAAACAACTTTACAAACTAAGTTTAAAATTCAAATTCTATTCTTAACACTCCCCCTCAAGTTGGTGCATGTATATTTATCATGCCCAACTTGTTAATTGCTTTATCAAACGCCTTCCCTGAGACAACTTTTATTAGAATGTCAGCAACTTGATTTTCTGACCGTATGAAAGGTAACTGAATAATCATATGATCAAGTTTCTCCTTAATAAAATGTCTATCAACTTCCACATGTTTTGTCCTGTCATGCTGAACCGGATTATGAGCTATTTCTATTGCAGCCTTATTGTCATAGTATAACTTCATGGGTTCACTGTATTCAATTCCAATATCCTTCAAGATATTTTTAATCCAAAGTAATTCACAGATACCCTGAGACATACCTCTGAATTCTGCTTCTGCACTTGAACGGGCTACTACCTTTTGTTTCTTGCTTTTCCAAGTCACTAGATTTCCTTCAACAAATGTGAAATAGCCTGATGTTGACTGTCTTGTAGTCTTATCTCCAGCCCAATCTGAAACAGTATATCCTTCAATTGATGATTCTCCATTTTTTGAGAACAGCAACCCCTTTCCAGGTGTCCCTTTTAAGTATCTAAGAATTCTTTGTACTGCATCCATGTGATCCTTACTTGGAGAATGCATAAATCTACTAACTACACTCACTGCATATGAGATATCAGGCCTAGTATGAGCCAAATAGATTAATTTTCCAACTAACCTTTGGTATTTATCAGTCTCGGTTGGAATCTGATCCTGATAAATTCCTAAGGTATGGTTCATCTCAATTGGAGTTTCCACAGGTTTGCAGGCCAACATCCCAGTTTCAGCAGGCAAGTCTAGGACATATTTTCTTTGTGACAATACAATTCCTTGGTCAGATCTGGCAACTTCAATGCCTAGGAAATATTTTAATTCTCCTAGGTTCTTCATGTCGAATTCAGTGGCTAGGTATTGCTCTAAGACTTTCATTTCACATTCATCATCACCTGTAACAACCATATCATCTACATAGACCATTAAAATGGTTACCTTTCCTCCCTTATGCTTTATAAACAAAGTATGGTCTGAATTACTTTGTTTATAATTGAACCTTTTCATAGCCGAGGAGATTCTACCAAACCATGCTCTAGGGGATTGTTTCAATCCATATAGAGCCTTTTTCAATTTGCACACTTGGTTTCCTTGTCTTTGTTCAATTCCTGGTGGTATCTCTATATAAACTTCTTCCTCTAGGTTACCGTTGAGGAAGGCATTCTTCACATCATATTGTTTTATACTCCAATTTCTATTGGCTGCAATGGAGATTATGACTCTAACTGTATTTAGTTTTGCAACTGGTGCGAAAGTCTCTTGATAATCAATGCCAAACCGTTGGGTATATCCTTTGGCTACAAGTCTGGCCTTGTATCTATCTAAGCTTCCATCAGCCTTCAATTTTAATGTGAATATCCATTTGCACCCGATTGTTTGTTTTCCTTGCGGTAGTGGAACCAATTCCCAGGTTGAATTTCTTTGAAGAGCCTCCATTTCTACATTCATAGCTTCCTTCCATCTTGGGTTTTCAAATGCTTCCTGAACATTTGTTGGAATAGCTACACTAGACAACTGATTAGTAGCAAAAGCATATGATTTTTTGAGAGTTTTTCTGTTAAGACATAGTTTCCAATCAGATATTTAATTTTGGCAGAGAGGTCAGGTTCATAAACTTTAGGAGGAATACCTTTGTTTGTTCTCTGTGATTTTCGAATTTGTGGTTCATTTGTGGGTGAGATATTGTTAACAGATGAAGAGAGGGGATTAGAGATTACCTCATTATGGTTCAGTGAAGTAGAGTCAGGGACAGCCACCTTAGCAGGACTTGGTGTAGGTGTTAAATCTTGTGTTTCAGCTATACTATTGGTAGCTTCTCTGTCCATTGCAACAGCTATACTATTCGGGTTTTCTACAGATTCAGGTGCATTCAGATTCGGGTTTTCTGCAGATTCAGGTGCATTCAGAGCAGCTGTAGATATATTCAATTCAGTCCCATTAGTACTCGGATCAGTGGTAGATATATGCTCCTCAGGCCCAGTATTTGTAGCTTCTTGTGAATGTGTTATCCACACTTCTTCTCCTAATTTATGGTGGAACTCCCCCTGAGAAGAAGTCTGGGAATCTCCCCCTGAGTAAAATGGTTCTCCTTCATGAAAGGAAACATTGAGAGATACATGCAATTTGCGGGTAGTAGGATCATAACACTTGTATCCTTTTTGCACATCAGAATATCCAACAAAAATACATTTAGAGGCACAGGGATCAAGTTTATTCCGGAGTGGTTTAGGAACATGTACATATACGGTACAACCAAATGTTCGTGGTTCAAGATTTGAAGAGTGAGGTATAGAAATAAGATTCAAGTTTTTGCAGAGGGGTTTGGAAATTAAGTGTACTTGATGGGGTTCGATTGATTAAGTACGCGGCAGATATGACTGCCTCTCCCCAAAAATGTGTGGGAACATGCATGTCAAAGAGTGAGGCTCATACAACCTCTAAAATTTGTCTATTTTTTCGCTTAGCAAGTCCATTTTGCTGAGGGGTATATGTACATGATGTTTGGTGTTTAATGCCATGGGAGGTAAGAAAGTTGGAAAAATTTGAGTTTAGATATTCCGTACCATTGTCTGATTGAAGAATTTGAACAGAAGAGTGAAATTGAGTTTGAATCATAATTTGAAAATTTTTGAATGCAGAAAATACATCACTTTTAGTTTCAAAAGAGAAATCCAGATCATTCGTGTGCATTCATCAATAAAGGTTACATAGTAAAATGCTTTGGAGATAGAGGGAACCTTGGCAGGCCCCCAAACATCCGAGTGAACTACTTGAAAAGGAATGACACTTTTATTAATACTTGGAAGATAAGGAACACAGTGGCTTTTAGCCAATTTGCAAACAGAACATTGAAGACTGGAAAGAGACACTGACTTAAATAAATGAGGAAACAGCTTTTTCAAATACGCAAATGATAAATGTCCTAATCTACGGTGCCACAGCCAGATATTCGTAGATGCTTCAGAGACTGAGAAGGAGCGGTGGAGATGAGAAGACGTTGTAGTGAATGCAGGTGTGCAGTCTAGGAAGTAAAGAGCTTCATTTTTAACACCATAACCAATTGTCCTGTTTTGGTGAATGTCCTGAAACGTACAAGAAGTAGGTCCAAAGGTAACTTTGCAATTTAAATCAGATGTGAGTTGATTTACAGATAACAGATTACAAGTTAAGGAGGGTACAAGCAGAACAGAAGTAAGACGCAGAGTAGGAGTTAATTGGATACAACCTTGGCCTGTGATAGGAGCACAGCCTCCATTTGTAGTGGAAATATATGTCTTAGGACATGATTCAATTTTACTCAACAGAGAGGAGTCCCAAACCATATGATTGGAAGCCCCAGTATCAATTATCCATGAAGATTTCCAACAATGAGCAGAAAAAGCATAAGACTTACCGAGGATGCCAGCTTGAACAATGAGTGCTTGAGGTGCCTTTTCATTAGTATCAACTTGAGTAGTGAGGGCCTTGCTGAGAAGCTTTTTCCGTGGGCGTTTCGTGAGATCCCACCAGTCTGGGTATCCAATCAATTCATAACACCTCTGTTTGGAATGGCCGGATTCCCCACAATGAGAGCACAGAAAAGAAGGTTTGTGGGATGGAGCAGTATCACAGCGAGGTTTCTGGTGTGGAGGGAGTCCTGTGCGTGGTGGATGACTGAGATATGTAGAGGTTTCATTAGAGGGTTTCGGGTTGTCCATCGTGTGACGTTGCTGATGGTCACGGCGGACATAGGCATAGGCGGATTCAAGGTCCGGTTTAGGGTCTTTACGAAGAATGTCCCCTCTGATTTGGTCAAATGCAGAATCAAGGCCAGCCAAAAAAATATGTACCCGTAAGCGAGAGAGGGCAGAATGCTGGTGAAGAAGATCAGCAACTGACGTGGAAGAGGAGGTGCGGTGGTCAATTTCCTGGAAGATAGCCAAAAGTTCGTTGTAGTATACGGCAAGAGGACGACCATTTTGCTTTGTGTTGAACGATCGTTGGTTAAGATCGAACAAGCAGGATTCGTCAGAGCCATCATAGAAGGTCTTAGAGGCAGCATCCCATATCTCGCACGCTGTCTCCAGACGGATAAACCTCTGCATGAGACTAGGGGACATGGACTCAATCAACCAGCTTTTCACGCATTTGTTGTCGGTGATCCAAGATTCATAGGAAGGATCATCAGGGGTGGGTTTGGGTTTAGCACCGGTGAGAAAGCCGGATTTATTGCGGGCCCCAATTCGCATGTCCATGAGTTGGGACCATAGGGGATAATTGGATTCGTCAAGAACAACGGTGATGGGAAGAGAGGAGTGATCTTGGTTGATTATGATGTTTGGTGGAGGCGTTGGGATGGTAGAGGACAATGGGTTTTGTTCGACGGAGGGCATATTGTTTCCGGTGGTGTTGATGTTTTCCATCTAGGGTTTGAAGGAGAAGACGAATTGGGGAAAATTAAGTGAACCCGGTCTGGTACGGTTCGGGTGTGTTGGGTGAAAAAGTTAAAGGGAGGGAGGTGGGTTTCGAAAAAAGGAAACGGAAAAATAATTCAAGAAAAAATAAGGTGGGGTTTCGAAAAAAAAACGGAAAAAGTATTTCAAGGAAAAAAATCAAGGATCAGAATGTAGCTCTTGATACCATGTCAAAATAACTGTGTATTTCATTGATAGTTCACAAGGTAAAGAAGGTGTTTAAATACACCAATAACAGAAACAGGATCAGATCAATATCCTATACAAAACAACTAAATAAAGAACAAACTCCCTAATTTTCTCAACAGTAAAAAACAACTTTACAAACTAAGTTTAAAATTCAAATTCTATTCTTAACACATTCCCCCAGTTTTCTCCCCCCTTTTGCTCAACCTGTTATTGTCCCACTAGTTATGGAAAACGTTCAAATTCAATGGGAAGGGGCCTGTAAGCTATTCCCCTTATAAGATAAATCTTCTTCTCCACTTCTGTAATATTGAAAGCACCAATATGTTAATAACATCTCCTTGGGAGTAAACGTGTGTTAAGGAAGTTAGTTTCTGTTAAGAGATAGGAAATACCTCCACTAAACATCTTGTTGAAATTTTAGGGTTTAGACTAGGAAAAGGAGAGATTGACAGCTAACAAAGTATTATGATATTCATAGGAAGATGTTATACACAAAAACGATAATGTAATTCACCTATTTATGCTGTTAATTAGGTCAAGCACTTGTAGTATTAGTTCAACCACACACCCACTACTAATAAACCTAATATCTTCTTACACATTTTAAGCTTTGGGTTGATTTAGTTTTTGTAAGAGTATAATATAAACCATTAAAGGGGCCCTCACCTAATAGCTTAAGCTTTTGGGTTGAATTGGTTCTTTACATGGTATTAGAGCCTCGTGTCCCGGGTTCGATTCTCACCACCCCCCACTTTCTCTTGTGGAATTTTCTTAACATAGGTAGGTGGGCTGTGCATTATCCACCCTTCAAGCCCAGTGGGCTCTAGTGTGAGGGGGCGTGTTAGAGTATAATATAAACCATTAAAAAGGCTCTCACCTAATAGCTTAAGCTTTTGGGTTGAATTGGTTCTTTACAGTTTTTGACATGGTATCTGAGGCTCTATGATCAGAAGGTCAGGAGTTTCATTTTTGTCAACCTCATTCTTCATAATTAAATTAAATTTCAGCACTATGTAAAATGGGTCTTTGCGCTATCCAATTTCAAGTTCAAAGAACTTTTACGTGAATGGGGTTTAGAGATATAAACTATTCTTGGTTGGTTTTTTTTGACGATTGACAGTTTCTTTGCTGCCCTGTGCATCCACCCCTCTCCTAGTAGCCTATTTGCCCAGAAGATGAAGTTATTTGTGATTCTTTGAGCCCTGGTCCATTTAAATCAGTAAACAAAAATACAAGCAACCAAAGTAAGAAGTGGAGTAATAAGTTGGTTTTGGTCGAAAGAGGAGAGCCACACTGTTACTTTAATAGCAATGAAATGTTTCCCTGCATTGATATATAAGGATGAACAACACCAGTTGGCAGTCGAGGTTGCATAGCTGAATTGGAGGGAAATCTACTGTATCACTACCAAATTCAGAAATTATTTTATCCTCTATGAATTGAAAATAATGGAATGATATGACCACTGGGATTATAAGTTTTATCTACTTAGATTTCTCGTCATTCATCTTTATATGTAGCATATGCCTGTGTCTGCAGTTCCTAACCTTCTAGCCTGTTGATTGCATGTGCTATTTCTTCAGGAGGGTGGATCATTTTAATGGAGTTGTATCCTGGGTTTGCTTTATATCGTGGGTTATATGAGTTTGCACAATTTGCCTCAGATGGGAGTACTTTGGGGACCGATGGTATGCGGTGGCAGGATCTAAGTGATAGAACCAATGGCATGAAAGAGGTCTTAATTATCATGTTTGCTGAGTGGATAGTAGTGTTTTTTGGTGCCTATTACATCGATCAAGTATTGTTGTCAGGAAGTGGAAAAAGTCCTCTTTTCTTCTTGAAAAGATTTCAAAAAATGCCTCCTCCGTCTTTCCAGAAGCCCAGTGTCCGAAGGCTGGGGTCAAAAGTTTTGGTTCAGATGGAGAAACCTGATGTCATCCAAGAGGTGATTTTTACTTGTATTGAATAAATGTGCTCATATTATGTGTTCACCTAGTGGATTAAGAAATTAAGAAAACTAATGTCCGTAAAGAGGTGCATTTCACCTATTGCTTTTAGAAATTCATGTAATAATGCCACCTCAGTGAGGAGTAGTAGAGTGATACACTATGCCTCAATAACTTGGGACAGTTAGGTGGAACTTTAGTTAGGCATGGATTCCATTAGAGAACCAAATAACGTTCCTTTTAGTCACAGATATTTTCTTTTTTTCACATTTTTGTTTGAAGAAAAAAAAAATGTAACATGAGGGTATGAGTTTGACTTCATTAGTTTGTATCAACATCAACATTACTTTTATCCCTGACTAGTTGGGGCCTCAGTTTATATCTGTCACATAAAAGTAACCTTATATTAAGATCTCATATATGTGTTGCAAGTTTTTTTGCAAGTTTGTTTGTACTCAATATGGTGCAGCTTACTTACATGCGTTATATGTTAAATGCTTTCTTTCTTCTTTTTCTCTTCAGAGAGAGAAGGTAGAGCAGCTGCTACTTGAATCAACTATTAATCATGCAATTGTATGCGATGGCCTAAAAAAAGTCTATCCAGGGAGGGATGGAAATCCAGAGAAATTTGCAGTAAGAGGGTTGTTCCTTGTTGTGCCTCAAGGGGAATGTTTTGGTATGCTTGGTCCCAATGGTGCTGGCAAGACTTCTTTTATCAGTATGGTCAGTTAAAATTGATTTTGTTCAAACAATATGTACATATTTTTGGAAAATTACTCGCGTTTTGCCCTTCCCCCAAAAAACAGTCAGAAGGTTCCATTCGGTTGTTTGAGCTCACATAAGAGAAAGGAATAAGTTTTAAAAAACCTTAAGAAGTTATCTTTTGTGAATGAACTAAAGAGATGTTTGGTCCATATATAAGGAGGAGGTATGGACCTCTGATGGCCTCACTTCAGTATGTAACGAAATTCTACTAGAATTCCATGAATCATGTTTCTTTGATTGACTGCTTTTCTCTTCAATTCGTAAATCTAATCAGGTTATGTATGCTAATAGATGATTGGTCTCACAAAGCCAACCTCTGGTACGGCATTTGTTCAAGGCCTGGACATAAGAACTCATATGGATGGAATATATACTAGCATGGGTGTATGCCCACAGCACGAGTAAGCAGGAATTTCCTCCAATTTTTATGTTTTTTTCTGAAATCAAATTTGGGAAAATTGAAAAAAAAAAATTAACTTTTTTTCTCTCATGATATTGTAGCTTGCTCTGGGAAAATTTGACAGGTAGAGAGCACCTACTTTTTTATGGAAGACTTAAAAATCTTAAAGGTTCGGTCTTGACACAAGTAAGTTAATTTCAGAGAAATTGTTACTGTTAGAATGTTAAGATTATTATCATTGTGTTAGGAGTCTTAAGTTGTACTGCTCTTGTACTTCCCAAAATATTAGGTAAAAATAGGTGTTTTAGGATTCAAATCAGTGGATCATTATCCAGTCCTTACACCTATTTGTTTCTGAAATACTTAAAAATTTGGTATTAGTAATTTATAATTCTTTTGCCATATGTTAAGATGCCAAGAGTGTGTGGAACATCATTCTAGGGGGACCATAAGTTTGTCAACAATGAAGGCAAAGCAACAGCCAGTCCATGTCATCGTGCTAGTTTTTCCCATCAAACTATTATTGAGTAGGGTTTTATTTGAGGACGACCTAAACTTCTTATGGTAAAGCAATTAAGGAACTAAGTTTTTATTATTACCAGTTAAGCATCTCAATTTCATTAAAAAATTTATTAATAAAAAATGTTGAAATGACAAAAATATCCAATTTGACAAATGAAAATAATTTATAGCATGAACAAAACACACAAATATATGAGCTAATTTTTTTTTTTTTTTCAATTCATAAAAATTCGACATACTTTTTATTGAAGTTGAGGTCCTTAATTGGTTATGACATTGAAATTGAGATTCTTAATTAATTATTACAGTAAAGTTAAGGTGCTTTTACAACACGTTTCTCAATTATTGTTTATTGCTTATTTTTCTGTTAAGGGCATGAATCTATAGAAGACGATCGCAGTGTAAACTTGAGTAATATTTAGCTTCCAATCTATTGCTGCAGGCAGTAGAAGAATCTTTGAAGAGTTTGAACCTTTTTCATGGGGGAGTTGCTGATAAACAAGCTGGAAAATACAGTGGAGGGATGAAGAGGAGGCTTAGTGTTGCAATTTCATTGATTGGGGATCCCAGAGTATGGTTTTCTTTTCAATCCGATCTGATCATATTTTTCTTTTTCCTTTTCTTTTTAAAGAAAGATCCAAGTTAGATTTTCTTATTCTGTAAGTGCTAAAATTTTTTAAGGTTGTTTATATGGATGAGCCAAGTACCGGGCTAGACCCTGCTTCAAGAAAAAGCTTATGGAATGTTGTTAGGCGCGCAAAACAGGATCGTGCAATCATTCTCACCAGTATTCTCTCACTTTTATGGATTTTGAAGCACAAGATTCTGCTTGTTGTCTATGTTTTAGATATGGGTTCGCTTTTTCTGCAACTGCAGATAAGTTATCTGCAGTAAGCCCAATACGACGTTGTTTTGGGGCGGAAATCATAGTGTTTTTGTAATTTTAATTTATTTCAGAGTTATAATAGTCTTTATATTTATAATTTTTTAAGATTTCAACATAAAACGACGTCGTTTTGAGAATAAAAGCAGATAACTTATCTGCATTAACTGCAGAAATATTTTTCCCTTTAGATATATTCAGCTTGTTTATATATTTGATTTCATAACAACATGAAGGTGTTCTCTCTCTCTCTCTACATATAGTTTTGATAAATCTTGGTTTCATGCTTTCAGCACATTCCATGGAAGAGGCAGAAGCCCTATGTGATCGATTAGGAATATTTGTAAATGGTAGCTTGCAGTGCGTAGGAAATCCAAAGGAGGTAACATTGCTTAAGTGATATATGCTTTATCAAAATCTATTGCAAAATAAAACTGTTAAATGGGTTTGGGTAGCTTATGGCTTTTAGCCCAGCCTAACTGTTCTTTCATGACTGAAAGGTCATGAGTTCGAATCCAGGAAACAACCTCTTTATAATTATGCAAAGGTCACCCCACACTCGCTAATCGGATTAAACAGAGAGTTTTTTTTTTTCATTTACTGCCAAGTAGAAAATACAAATTTAAACCATGTAGGCTTTGACATGTTATATAACACTTGGGACTTGTGTTGGTTTCTCATAGCTGAAAGCCAGATATGGAGGAACTTATGTGTTCACGATGACAACATCTTCGGAGCATGAGAAGGATGTGGAGAACATGGTGCAGCAGCTGGCTCCAAATGCTAACAAGATATACCATCTCTCTGGTACCTTGAAGTTTGAGCTGCCAAAAGAGCAAGTAAGAATAGCAGATGTATTCCGAGCTGTTGAGAGAGCAAAGAGAAACTTCACTGTTTCTGCATGGGGTTTAGTTGACACCACATTGGAAGATGTCTTCATTAAGGTAGCACGTGAGGCTCAGGCATTTGACACCTTGTCATAATTGTCATACACAATACACTGCTAGTCATTCCAGCAGTGTATAAATATTCTATTTATACCATGTCCTAGCCCCTCCCTTAATGTGAGATCACTAGAGTCGCTTGGTCTTTACAAATACAAGCGTTTGAGTGATTTTCCTACTGAGGATTTGCTTTGATGATGACATCAATCCTCGATATCATATCACTGCGGATGAGGGATGACCAATTGATATGAAGTTATATTGTTAAAAGAATGGATTTAAAAGTATTCTGTAGGATATACTAAACAGTCGTTAATTGATATTTTATGCCTTGTTGATGCCGATGTGGGTTTATACATTTTCGTACATAAAGTAATTAAATAAAAAGAAGGAATGATATGGATGCAACCAATAATTAATAAATAAATATATTTTAGCAATTTACCAAAAAAAAATAAATATATTTTAGCACACTTATATTACTAAAGCAATTTATATCTTCAAATTATAACTTTCAATAAGAACTTACAAAAAACTATATTTTGTAAATGAAAATTTTAGAAAATGAGTGGAAACTTTTATAATCAACAAGAAATCTAAAAATTGTTCAAAGCTTCAATGGAGTTTCAACTACTTAGTAATTCAATAGGCCGGGTTTGATATTTGTCTTTTTAAAGCATATAGAATTGTGTCATTTCAAGTGAGGAAAAAAAGATATGCAATGAAAATTATTGAGGGAAAAAGTAAGTGATTTTTTTAATTTAAATTTTAAATAAAAGAATTTAATGTTAATAAAATGACTATCTTTAAAATGACAAATATTTTTTTCATAATTTAAATAGAAAATAGAAATCAATTGCTTAAAAGCCTTGTGCACATCAAACATAGGATATGATATCAGCTTATTAGGCCTATATCCTTTCCTATTTTTATCCATCCTTCCTATCTTATCCGTCCTTATCTTATCTTGTGTACTAAACGAGCCCGTAAACATAAATGTATGAAAAAGATGACTAAATAATGTTATATTTTGATGTAAAGAAAACATTATGAATTATAAAAAAAGAGAAGAAAGTTATAGTTATCGCCATTTTAAGCTTACCACTCTTACAACTTTTTTAGTTATCGTTGAATTAATTTGAAATTAACGGTTGAAAAATAAAAAAATAAAATAATTGATGTTGATTTCAAATTGATCCAAGAATAACCAAATAGATTGTAAGAGTGATAAGTCTAAAATGATGATAAGTATAAGTATAACCGCATCCAAAAAGAAATGGGAAAATTATTAGTAATAAATATGTGGAAGGATATTGTAACAACCAAGTTGTGTTACTACCATGTTACTACTAATCAATCTCACCGTTAGATTGCTTATGTTGATCCGACGGTTATATTTATTTCCATCTTTGTATGGTCATGATTTCTCAAATTTAATATTTAATATTTATTTTCACCTTTGTATGGTTATGATTTTCCATATTTAATGCTTTCACTTTAAATATGGGGAATCATAACCATACAAAGATGAAAATAAATATAACCGTTGGATCAACATAAGCGATCTAACGGTGAGATTAATTGGTAGTAACATGGTAGTAACACAACTTGGTTGTTACAATATCCTTCCCCAATAAATATTTAGGATATTCTAAATTGTGGGAGAGGTTATACTTATTACTGAAAAGTTTTATAACTCTTACTATTTAATTAATTACCGTTGATTTTTTGCTAATCTAACAATTATAATTTATTGGGTACACTTATTAATTAATTACTAATTTTAATAAATTATAGCTGTTAGATTGATGAAAATCAACTATAATTAATTTAATAGTAAAAATTGTAAAGCTTTTTAATAGTAATTATAATCATCCCCTAAACTATATTAAAATATATATAATCTTAATAGGTACGGTTACTACCCCTTAATCTTACCACTTTTACTATTACGTTTTAATCATTACATCATATCTAAATCAACGGCACTCAAGCCAAAAAAAAAATAAAACAGTTCCCCTCTGGTCTTTCATGAGTTGTGTCAATAATCCAATTAACATTGTTTAAAAAAATAATAATCCAATTAACCTCACATGAGTGCCGATGTGGGTTTATCCATTTAGCTCACTCAGATTAAGTGCTAAATGAACATGTAATCATTTTTCTTTTTTGGACAAATGAACATGTAATCATTGAATATGCATACAATCACTTATTTGCATCCATGCCTTTTATTATATGGCTTTATTAATTTTATGTTATAGGAAAATATATATTTTCCACTTTAGACACAATTATGGATGAAGTCACTAACTTATAAAAAATAAATAAAATTTAAGCTATACAAAAAGGGAAAATTATGTATTATTTTAAAAGATATAAAATTGTGTCATATTAAGTGAAAGAAAGAGATAGATAAAAGAGGAGAGAGAGTGAACAAAAAAATATAAATGTGTGAATCCATCTCTTTGTGAGAGTAAAATAACATAAATTGTGTCATTTAAAAAGACAAATATTTTTTCCATACAAAAATTGATGAATTTATAGAAAAAAAGCTATTCTCCGACAAGAGATAGTAATTTTTTCCTTTATTAATTATGATATGGGGTGGTTGATGTGGAATAGACATGTATATAATATTTTTTTTGGAACTGAATGTGGTGAAAAAAATCCAGCCGGTTTCAAGTTGAGCATTTTATCCATAATGGGGATTATGATTTTTTGTTGGAGACAATATTATCCAACGTAACTTTACAATCAAAAGCGAAAGCTATTAATATCCTTGAATGAAGATTTTATCTTTGATCAAAATTCTATGTTTGTCTCATTTCCCCTCTCTATATATTTCCATGATTTGGGTTCATATTTCCGGAAGAAATAGAGAGAAAGAAAAAAAAAAATAAAAAAAAAAATCTGCTTACTGCTGAATTTTACTTTCAACGATGTCTAAGGTATTCTTGTTGTTTTGTTTTCTCATGGGGCTTCTGCTCCTTTCTCAGGCACATGAAAATGGTGAGAAGATTGGAGTTTATGAACTGAAGCGAGGAAATTTCGAGCTGAGGTTGACAAACTATGGTGCCACCATTATCTCTGTCGTAATCCCTGACAAACACGGTTTGTTTTATCTTCTTCCCAAACTTAATTATCACCCTTTCTCGCAATCACAGACAACCTTTTTTGTTGTGACTTTCTTTACAGGGAATTTAGCTGATGTTGTTCTTGGCTACGATTCCATTGATTCGTACAAGGTATGATCCATTAATTCTTTTATGGTTAAATCAGCTAATTGAAAAAAAAAAAAGGAATAAAAAAGAAATGCTACTTTGATATGATTTTGTCCCTTCTTTCCCTTGCTCTTCTTTGTCTTTGGTTTTATCTTTTGATTCTCTATTATTTATTTAATTATTTATTTATTCTGCACACGAGATCAATCCAGTAATTTTAACCGATTTAAGTTCTAATTTAACAAAGAAAACTATGCATTGGTCAAACTTGATCGAAAGTTGTGTTCTTGCCTTTAGATCACCGCAGTTTAAAGATGTGTGTAATTCTGATATTGTAAGTGCTAAAAAAATTGTAGTTCTACTAATCTGCTGCCATTTGAAAAGAAGTTGTACATTTTGTATTAAACTTGTACTTTAAAAAAAAAAAAAAAAAGATATGCAAGGTTTATGTAGAAAGTGAATGACTCATCCACTTGTATTTTTCTCTAGAAAGTAGTACACTCAAAATCTAAAATGCGGTAGTGTACAAGGAATATCAACAGCAGAGATTATTAAGTACAGTGAGTGTAATACACCAAAAATTTCTCAAACTCAAGGCTTGAAATTTGCTGTAGAATGATACAAGTTACTTTGGTGCCCTTATTGGACGTGTGGCAAATAGGATTGGAGGAGCTCAATTCACTTTGGATGGCAAAACCTACAAATTGCCTGCTAATGATCACGGGAACACACTCCACGGTATGTTAACATCAATACATTGAATTTTCTGATATACACACACCCCCACCCACCCCCCTTGACGTAATGATGCATTATGTTCATATTCTGATTGAGATGGAATTGCCAATAATGGTTGAATAAATTGCTCATATGAAATATCAGGTGGCACCAGAGGGTTTAGTGATGTTGTATGGACAGTAAAATCTCACAAGAAAGATAGTCATATAACATTTACCTACAACAGTTTTGATAATGAAGAAGGTACGTACTTCAACTACTGATATAATTTGATTGTGTTGATGACTCGATTTGACTTGAAACTAATTGGGTTGGATTTAGTAAATTTTTGAATTGAGTTCACACCACCTCTTGAGTTAACCTAACTCATTTCAATGTCAGGTAATATTTTAAAACTTATAACGTTTCAATGTCACTTGAACACCTCTACTATATAATATTTATTATCCTCTGCAGCCTTATAATTCTTTGGTTACACAACACTGATATATTTTTCTTTCTAAAATAAAATTTTGTAGGCTTTCCTGGAAAGCTTGATGTCTCTGTGACTTACATGTTCATTGGAACAAACAAATTGGGTGTGAAAATGATTGCCAAGCCGGTAGACAAAGACACACCAGTGAATCTAGCGCAGCATACTTACTGGAACCTGAGGGGTCACAACAGTGGTGACATTCTTTCTCACATTGTTCAGATCTTTGGCTCACAGATTACACCAGTGGACAAGGATCTCATCCCCACTGGAAAATTCGAGTCTGTAAAGGACACCCCATATGATTTCCTTGAACCAAAAGAAGTTGGAAGCCAAATTCATGAGCTTCCTGGTCTCTATGACATGAACTATGTGGTGGACAAAAGTGGCCAAGAGCACTTAAGTAAAGTGGCTGTGGTGAGAGATCCTGTCTCTGGGAGGAAAATGGAACTCTGGTCAAACCAACTTGGTGTGCAGTACTATACTAGCGGCATGTTGAAGGATACCAAGGGCAAGGATGGGGCCATATACCACAAGTATGCTGGCATTACCTTGGAGACACAGGGTTTCCCAGATTCCTTGAATTACCCAAATTTCCCATCCCAGATTGTGCATCCTGGGGAGATATACAAGCACTACATGGTTTACAGATTCACAGCTAACTAAATGGATTTCTGAATTTAATCAGAACTGCAGTGCAATATAACTTGAAGTTTGGCAAATAATGATTTTCAATCTTCTTCTCTCTTGCTTAGCTCTTGCTTTTTCCTTTTGATGCATTTCTGTTGCTAAGATTAGTTTTCCAAAAAGACTTTTTAACTTTTCTTCCTCAGGGGAATCTCAATTATTGAAAAATATGTGTTTTGTTCGTTTTTAGGTCCTATGCAACCATTCATGGATAGTCAAGCATTTTAAAAAAATTCTACCGATAGTGTTTTTTACCACATCCTAAGAAGATAATAATACTTTATTGGAATACACTGTATGTTAAAAAGTCATTTATCATCAATCCAGTTTGACTTTTTTTTTTTTTTTTTTAAATATGAAATGAATGCTAGAATATTGGAGACCCTAAATTTTACTTCTCCCACAAATAATTTTTTTTGTATAATTTGGATTAGAGAAAATTCTAACTTAAATGCAGAGAATCCTTTTATCTATAGGTTAATTACAAAGTGTATATTGACTTCCTATCCGAAATTTTCTGCTGTATGCATATATAGAATGAGATAAATTTGTACTACTATACATTTTGTTAAGTTTAAGGATTTTGAGCTGTCAAAATTTTTTAACTACTTTTAATTAAAGGAGGTAACACGAACCAGAAAAAGAAGGGGGATCTAAAGAGGTATCCACTTGAAGATAAAATACATTTCATGTTGTTCTCTTTGGGATTTCATAACTGGGGATTTTGTTGAGGATGCAGGAGGAGGAAACTCTCAGAGCTGACACTAATGTGACTGGAGACAGAGTTCAACCTTTGCTGAATGATAATTATGTCTCAAAAGGGAATCCTAGCATGGGACTTCAGACCCTCTTATCTCATAGGACTTGAGATGACTTTTCCTCTGGTCTAGATGGACTAGCTGAATGTCTGATGACTGGCAGCTGTTCTAAGGTAGCCAAAACCTCAGACATCTGTGGTCTAATCTTGGCCTCACTAATACATTGTAATGCTAGGATTGCAGTTGTATAAGCTGCTCTCTGTGGGTATTGCCCTTCTAACTTGGTGTCCATAATCCTGAACAACTTCCTCCTATCACCCAAATAGGGTTTTGCCCAATCTACCAGATTATGTTCCACTCCAGATTTTGTTTTATCAAAAGCATGGCGCCCTGATAGTAGTTCCAATAGCACAACCCCAAAGCTATAGACATCACACTTTGCAGTCAGCCGACCTGATCAAAGATTTTTTTTTATTATCACAGTACAAGAAAAATCACAGCATTGCTAAGACATCCCAAAAAGAGGACAATTAGCCATTCCATATGAACAAATTCGTAAATTATATAATGTGATCATTTAAGGCAGGGAAAAGGGCAGAAATCACTTAATAATGGTAATGTGAAAAAATAAAGCAATTACTTCATAAAGGGTAGTTAGCAGACAACCAGATTAATATACATATTTATACATGTGTGTGTATGTATGTATAAAATGCAGACTAAAGAGAGAGATAGCATTGTTTTGATAATTATCTGGGAACTAATTTTTAAACCGAGTGAAAATAAAAACAATTAATATGCAAGACAGACCCCAGGATAATAGCAAAAGTAAACAATTGGGGCAACTAGATTTAAAAATAAAATAAAAAATACAACCTGAAAAGTTCCACATGTACAAGAGGCTTCTATTTCTCTATAACCCAAGGAATAAATTACTCTTCTCATCAATATAGAGAGGGTGGTTTATTTTTACTCGGGAAGATCCACACATCAAGGCATTTTCTCAATGAGTATGAATATAATTGTATATGTACATGGAAATTATCAATATTCAGATGTTACACTTTAAGTTGGTTGACCTATCAAAAACATTTGATCCTTGAAGATTTCATTCATCACCTACTAGAATCACAACTTTGAGTGATATCCATGAAATCACTAGTTTGATTTGAAATATCTATTAAGAATCCTAACGAAAGAACCGAAAAGCATTACAAATGAGGAAGCTGATAGAAAAACAGATTTTTAATGAACCAAAAAGCTTGAAAATAAAAGTTAAAAGAAAAAATCCAACCTGTAGCGATATATTCAGGAGCAGCATAGCCGTGAGTTCCCAGGACTTGCGTGGAAACATGAGAATGATCACCAGTAGGCCCTGCTTTGGCCAATCCAAAGTCTGATAGTTTTGCATTAAAATCCTGCATTTATATAAAATCATGTTAAAAAGCCAGACTAGTTGGATACCAACTTTAAAATGAACTTTCAACCAGCAATTCAAAGTGGACTGATCCATTAAATTCAGGGAAATATTTTGTTTAAAATGACCGAAAAAAGGAAGAAAGGAAAATAATAGAACAGACTAGATAGGATATAAAGAAGATAGCTAAATTAAGGTTACACAAAACCCATATATAGTTTGCAAGCATTTTCCCCCAAATGCCCACAATAACATGGCAATAATGCTAATGCTTAACCAACATACCGAATCTAATAAAATATTAGAAGTCTTGAAATCACGGTAGATAACATGTTGTTTAGAGTCATGTAGGAAGGTGAGACCTCTAGCAGCACCAATAGCAACTTTGATTCTTGCTGCCCAAGGAAGTGGTTTTGCACCCTCTGCAATTAACAGTTCCAGAGTTGATTAAATCACAATTCAGTAGCAGGGTTGGAAAAAATAACTAGATGAAACCAAAATATTTGATTGCTTGATTTGCAAAATGTCAAATCATAGTGCAGACATGTTCAAACTGTATTTATTCTCTGAGACTTAAGCTATTAAAGGCATCAACATACTGCGAAATAGATGATTTTCCAAGCTTCCGTTGGGCAAGTACTCGTACACTAGAAGCCGGTTATCCCCATCAAGACAGTATCCAATAAGTTTAACAAGATTTGGATGATGAAGTTGGCCAAGATAATTGAGTTCAGACTGTAAATAAAGAAAACTATGATAGATTTTGATTCATTTAGAACAAAAGTACTAACAGGATTAAATGCTGATGGATGGAAGAAGCAAACCTACCAGCCACTCCTTATGACCTTGAAAACCTTCAGGCTTAAGCTTCTTCACAGCTACAACCATTCCAGAAATCCACCCTTTATAGACATGACCAAATCCCCCTTGTCCAAGTAGATTATCAGGACAAAATTTTCTGGTGGCATTCTTAAGATCATTGAATGTGAAGGCTTTTAAATGTGGGGACGAAAATATGTCCCCTTCAGGTCTTGGAGTTGGGAGAATCTCAGGTTTACCTTCATCACTGTATCTATGCACTGCTGCACTTGAATGAGCTAACAAATGGGTGCTTTTAGGATGAACTTTTGTAACATCTGAAAAATAGTTTTCATTTTAGTAAAAGAAAACAACAAAATCAAAAGAAAAACAAATTACTCTGCGCTCCGGGAACAATGACAATTAAATATTTATTGCATACAATAAAAGCATAACATATCTATTGCACACGTAATCATGGAGAGAAAAACACGCCCAAAAAATAAATTAATAATAATAATAACATAGGATGTGAAAAAAACACGAACCAAAACTGGGTTGGGAGCTCCAAGTGTTATCAACCTGGGAACGAGTTCCAAAGCAATTTCCCATCAGAGGAACCAACCCTTTTTTGAAAACTCAACAATAAAAAAATTCAATTGAGCTCAATTCTCGGCATGCAACGTAACCTTGACATCGATCTCCAAATGCATTTTGTGTCCGGTGGTTCTCCTGCATCTTGTCCCTCTCAGAGAAGAACACGAAAACAGAGAACCAGATTGTAGTGTTGTATTATTTTTACGCATTTAAACCACGAACTTTTGGAAATACAGTTAAGGATGCACATTTTTTATTATTGAGAAGGATGTTTCGATTATCTCATTTGCGACAAGCGATTGCCAAGTGTACCGACATCCTCGATAATCGAAGTTTTCTTCTTCCGTAAATGCTCTCGTATGTTTTTTTGTAACTACCAGTCTTTTGAGCGTTCATATCATGGTAATTTGAACCAATTGCAAAGGTTAAATGGTGGAATGTGAACAAAAATAGTGAGACAGTTATGTTGCTTTTAGTTTTTACGCTCCTCCATGGTGCATCAATTTTGAATTTATTTATTTATTTTTGCTATACCCACAGTAATTAATTTTTGAGATGAGTTGGCTCTCCTATTCTAATATGTTTCAATTCTTTGAACCAACTATCAGAATAATTTCGAGTAAAGACTTAATCACAGTTAAAATTATTTGTCCCTCTATGGAGATATATTTAATGAGAATTGAACAATTTTGAATTTTAGGCTTTACTTATTGCCAAAGACGGCACGTTTTTTTGAATAAAAATTACGTGTCGGTGTCGGATACCGACACGTTCCGACACAGTTAATATTTTCTGACAATTTATTTTTTAAAAAAATCCAAATTTTATTTTATTTAATCTTTTTAACTAAACATGAAAAATTAATTTATAAATCAAATATGTTTTTTATGGAATTTGATATAAACATTATCAAAGTATGAAAAATTATTTTCGCTTTATATTTATGTTATGAAATTTTAATATTTGATTAATTATATGACTTATTATGAGCTGCTATATGTATTAAATATAAATCATATTATATATAGTTAAAATATTATTTAATATCAAAACGTATTCTAACGTGTCCAAATTTTAGAATTAATGTGTCGACGTATCGTTTCGTGTCTGGTCGTATCGAATGTCAATATCGATGCAACATAGCTTATTACTTGCTCAATGTTTTCTATTGCACTTTTTTTAAGTAAACGTAGAATTCAATTTTTTTAATTAAAATTAAAAAATGTTTAGAATTGAAAATAATTGTATATATAATTATATTAAAGCAGAATTGATATGTGAAATTAAAAAAAGGCATGTGTTTTTTTAAGTAAAAATAAAATCATTAATTAAAATACTCTCAAATAAATGTACTATAATTTTAATAAATAGGGAAAGGTGCATTACAATGTGATTATTTTACATTGATTATCAATTTTAAATTATCGCTGTTAATAAATTTTTTTTTGTGATATTTAGGATTGCGTATAAATTTTGTGTAGATCTTTTAATGTTAGTTAAGAAACATACATATATGCGTTCGTTATTTTATTGGGTTTTATTACTATCATGTTACATAACCCAAGAAAATTTTCCTACACACACAATTAAAATGTGGGGTCCACATATTTTTTTTTCTCTTTCATCATTCCACCTTCTCTCTTCTTTATTGTGAGGGTAGAAAAATGTTCTTATATCATGTAATATTATAGTAATAAAACCCTATTTTATTTTGTTCTACTTTAAAGTATATCATGTATGACATTATATTTTAAAATACACACACATACATATATATAAGGGTTAAAGTTTTCTTATGTTGTAGGATAGTATGAGAGAAAAAAAGTAGAGAGAAGTTAAATGTGGGTCCCATCTTTTATATTAAAAAAGAAAAAAAAAACTAATTGGCACAGAAAACGAATTTGTGTAGGAAAAGATGTTACTCTCATGTAGCATGAGAGTATTATTTCCCTATATATAAAAGTGTTTGTCATTTTAAATGACATAAAGTTATATCATTTTAAGAGAGAGACAGACACATAATTTTTTTATTTAAATTTTAAATTAAAAAAAACCACCCACTTTCTCTCTCCCATGATTTCTATTTTTTTGTGTCTATCTCTCTCCTAAAATGATGTAACTTATATCATTTAAAATGACAAACATCAAACATATATATATATATATATATATATATATATATATATATATATATATATATCGGTTTAATATTTTTATTTTTACTATAAAAAAGTTTTATGTGCCACCCTCGCATAAGAGTGAATGAGTCTTACCAATCTTTTGGGGATACCGGAGGGAGCCAACTCGCCTCAAAGAGGTAATTAGGGTTGGGTAACTCCAAAAAAAAAAAAAAATCTTTTCTCTCTTGTATCTACAATGAGATCTATTTATTTTTATTGAGTGTGATAAAGAAATTTTTTGTTTAGTAAAATAGATCTATTTACTTTTATCTATTAAATTAAAGTATTTTTATGAGAGATTGATTTACTTTTTTTATTGTAATAGCCCTAAACATTTGCGGACTTACATGGTTACTAATGTGTGCAAGTGCAGACACAAAAAAATAAAAATAAAAATTTCATTTGAAATAGGAAAGCTTGATATATGTAAATAGTTGGTGAGCCATCTCTACATGTGAATAGCTTGAAACAACATTTAATTTTTTTTTTAATAGCTTGAAGAGTAAAGTACATCTTAGGTCTTCAACAAAAATCACGGGGCCCATTTTAATTCCTTAGAAAAAAAAAGTCAACTTGTGGTTACTCTGAAATTCAAAATAAACACAATTAATCGAAATTGTGGTCCCTATAAAATTCAAAGAAGAACCACTTTAGTCCCTCAAAAAGACTAATATGGGTTTACTTTAAATTTCATAGGGAGCAAGAGCCGACTTTTCTCTCTCTAAGGGATTAAGATGGGTCCCTTGGTATTTGTGAAGGATTCAAAAAGTACTTTACTCTAGCTCAAAATAACATTTACAAAAAATGTGATACGCGTGAAATAGCTTGAAATGACAAAGTTTGATATATATGAATAATTTTGTTTTCTCTTCTTGTTTATATTCTTTTATTTTTTATTGTATTTTAAAATTTCTTTAATTTTTTTTCGGGGGCACTGAATACCCACCACTAAAACATAAATAAAATTTTCTAGTTCCGTCACTAATCATAAAAAATACGTGTTATTAACCTTTTTTTAAATTTTTTTTCAAATTCTTCGCTTATCCATAGGCCATAGCCAGAACCTGAGCCAAGTCCACGTGCATCAGCACAGACCCACGGCTTCAAATTAATTACGGCCCGCAACTAGCAAGCCCAAGCCTCCCTATTCCAGAATCCCACGATAGAGATTAGAGACCAAAGTAGCAACCGTTTTTATTTATCTATTTTTAGTGTTCATTTGGGTTAGGCTTCAATGCTGATGTCTTAACTCACATAGTGTCTGTTTGGGCTTATAGTTATGGATATCTCTAACCCATTTCATGTTTAATTTCTTTGGGCATGGCTAAACAAAGTTGGGTCATTTGGTTTTATTTCAAACTTAAGTTGGGATAATTATTTTAGATAGGTTAACTTTTTTTTAGGAGAGGTTATAATTACTTTTTTTTTTATTACCTCTTATTACTAAATATTAATCATTGATTTTTGTCAATCTATCGGTTGTAATATATTGGGTCATATTTATTAATTAATTATTAATTTTTAATAAATTATAACTGTTAGATTAACAGAAATTAACAGTTAAGAGATAGTAAGAAAAAGAGGTAGTAAGTATAACCTCTCCCTTTTTTATATGTCAAAAAACAAAATTTTTGGTTGAAAAGGAGAAAGAAGAAGGAAGTAGAGAGATTCAAATTAACAAAATATTAAATACAAAGAAATAGATAAAGTACAAAATCTAAAAAATATTAGGTGTTAAAATGAAAATAAGTTTGTTTGAGTTTTTAGGTGTTTTTGAAACATGCACCACTGGGGTTAGCCGAGTGGTGTGGGGTGTGTGTGTTAGGAGTGTGTGTAGTGTAGGGTGTTGTGTTCAATTCCTTGTAACCTCCAAAAAAAAGGTGTTTTTGAAACATTAAAAATATAAAAAAAATTAAATACTTTGTGTTTCGCTTTAATTAGAATCTACTTTATTTTTTTATCTAATTGTATTGACTAATGATTTTTTTTTTTTATTTTGTGTATTTATTTTAAGGAAAAAGTTCACCAATAACCTTGTGGTTTACTCTAGAATCAACTATACTCATGTGATTTTTTTTATCACATATATTCTTGTGATTTGAAAAATGATATATATATTTTTATCACATATGCTCCTGTGATTTTTTACTTTTTACAAATTACAGGGGCATATGTGATAAAAAAATCATAGGGGCATATATGATTTTAAAGGAAACCCGAGGACATTGATAAACTTTTTTATTATTTTAATTATAATATTAATGTTGCCTTTTATAGTCAATCTTGTGCCAACTTTAAAAAAATAAAAGTAATTAACAATTAAATTATTTCTTCTTAAGATGGGTTAAGTTGGGGTAGCTTGTTAATCATATAATTTTTATAAATCATTTAAGTTACAACATGTTGATGATCTGAGATGTTTTTATAATTAAATTAAACTACTTAAGGGGATCAATTGAGTTGCTAAAACTTTTTAATCTTATAATTTTTTAAAGATCATTTGAGTTGCGTTAACTTGACGATCTAATATTTTTTAATAATCAAAATAAATTCTTAGCTATCAAAAATATTCAAAGGTTCGTTAAGTTGTAACAATTTCTTTATCTTTAAACTTTTTTTAAGTCATTTGAATTGCTACAACTTGATAATCATGCACTATTTAGCAAAAATGACTTCAGTTATGACAATTTGATAATTCAAAATTTTCATATTGGTCATGCACTAGTTTTGGAAATAAATAAATAGAAGATTTTGATTTTTTTTCTCTCCTTAATAGTTAAAAGGATAAGTGAGTTGTGAGAACTTGTTACTCGATCCTTGGACACTTATCTAAAATAATGTGAACAATAACAGCTTGATGATTCAATTTTTTCTAAATCAATTATTTATTTTTCTAAGTAAAATCAGCCAGCTCAAAAA